TGGCAAGGCCCACGTGCCCCGACACGCGTGGAACAAAATGCTCGTGCACCAAAGAACAAGGCCAAACGCATGAAGAAACAAACAAGAAAACAGCGGCAAAACAAGAAGACAAGAAGACAGCGATAAACACAACTGGACACAACACAATGAAAACACAAAACACAACAAAACAATCAGAAGCTATGGAAAACATTCCAAAACTAACACACGCAGAGAAGCAACACAAAACCATCATAAACCAGCCCCCAAAAAAAGCAAAACAACAACAACCCACAACCAACGAACTAACCATGAAAACGCTTCCCGAATCTCTGGAGTCAATGTCCGTCCGCCCTCTGGGCTTCCGTTCTGGCGTGGTGTTGCGGGTCATCTGCCCCAGGCGCTCCGCCAAGTACCCGGGGAAAGCGACCTGGCTTTAGCTCGTCGCTTTTTGAGAGCTGAAGGGGAAACCGAAAGGAAACCACCCAGCAAAATATTGGGACCCGTTTTGGTGGTTAAAAAAAAGCTGGGGACCAAAAGGGTGGTGGTTACCAAAAGGAAACCAAAAGGAAACCACCCCTATCTTAAGGCAAACCCTAAAAAAAAAAGCCGGGCCTGAATTTTACTAGGGCACCTGGGGCCTGAATTTTCAATCTGGGGACCTGCTCTTGCCCAAGAGCACCCTTTTGACTCGGTTCAGTGGACCTGGTAGGAAATTGCTGGTGCGATGTATAGGGAATGACCGAGTCCGGGTATTGGGAATGAACCGTTTGGGGAGTCCCTTAGAGGAAACCATACTTGTTCAATGGTATAACTTTGGTCCCGGTGTTTGTGCAACCCATGTTTTCCAACGCATTCTTGCAAGCCAACATTTGGTTCGCCCACTTGCAACTCACATTTTGTTCAACCCACTTTGTCCTAACTCATAGTTCATTTCTTCGCAAGGCATGATTTGTCTCATAGAAACCAAGTGGAATTTATCCAGGAAATTGGATCCAAATAGCCACCAAAAACATGTTGTTTCCTTCTTGTACGCCCTAAATGATGTCCCTCAACTCACCTGCCCAAAGCCGACTTTTTGTCCCCCAAAAGAGAAACCTTTGTTTCTGGGTGCCAGTTGTTTTACCAGGGTCTGTCTCAAAGTAGGACACCTTCCCTCCTCCAAAAAACACAAACTGTTTCTCAATACTAGGAGCCGTTCCAGTTGATGGCTTTCAAGATGCCTCCAAAGCGGGGGGGGGGGGGCACTATTTTGAGACAGCGCTGTTGGGAGAAAACAACAAAGGGTACGTAAAGAGGGTACCCGTTTGGTTCAACATAAGAGGGAACCCCTCTAACAAAACCAAAGATGAAAAATAACAGAAACCTGAACATTCAAAAACCAAACTGAAGAATTAAACTGTTTTTTTTCAAAAGACGAGAAACCACACCTACCTGAGCGGTTGGTTCCAGAAACAACAACCCTACCCAAATTGTTCAAACAGAGATCCCAAGTTGGATCGGTAGTTAAAGCAGCTGGCCCACAAATCCCAGAAACCAAGAGGAAGCCCGCTGTTCCTGGTCAGGTGAGCGCTCATCTGCCCAGATTCTTGGTTCCAGAGAACGGACAAACATAGGTGTCCTTTTAGGGGAAATAGATGGCCCTGGTAGATGATGAAACCACCAGGTAAACCAGGGTCATCTATTTTTCTGGCAAAACAACCAACAAGGACACCTATGTGGACAAACATTCCGCTTCCCCTTTGGCGTTTTGGATTGGTGGATTTTGAAGGCTTTGTTAGGAAGCGGCGTCGAATCCTCAAACCGAGCCAAAACCACCAACGAAGGGTTCAATGAAAACCTTGATATACCAAAATCACCAACAACACTTGGCCCCCATCTGATTTTTTCACAGAAAATGACATCCGATTCTGGCTCAGATCTGGCTAATACAAACCAATATTGGGCGTGTCTTGTTTTGCGGGTATATTCTGGTTTATATCAGTCTACCCTGTGATAGTTAAAAACAAAAAAAAATGTGTCTTGTTTTGCGAGTATATTCTGTTTTTGTGCTGTAGGAACACCAAAGGGACCCCCGATGCTATTTTTGGGGGGTCCGGTCTCCCCCAAAGAAGGACGAGCCCTCCATATGGCCATGGGTCAAAATCCAAGTCGGTTGGCCCCCAGTGAACATCCACCAATCCACACTATTTAAAATAGGTTCGAAAATGGGTGGTGCACCAGAAACCCCAAAATGGGATCCCGAAACGGTTTTGACAACAGCCAGATGTTCGGACACCAGACGCGTGCCGACGCACTCGTTGCCGTGCGCCGCATTCCGAATGCGTCGAATGCGTTCGAAGCTGCGATGGGGCTGAAGAAGATCATGGCGGAGACCTCCCGCGGGTTTCGGAAAGCTCGCGGGAACAGGAGAAGACCATTGTCCTTTTAGGAGAAATGGGTGTGGCTCAAAATTAGAGAGCTAGGGATACGCAGGTGTTAGTCTTTGTTTCCATTTACCAAGGTTCCATTTTGGGTACCCTTCTTTGACCCACAGCCAAATAGATGGCGCTGGTAGATGATTAAACCGGTAAACCAGGAATCACCATCTATTTTCCTACAAAACAACCAAAAAAAGACACCTATGGCCTATGGAGAAGACGTTTCTTTCGGCTTCCCTCTACTCGGTTTGGTTTAAGTCCCCTCCAAAAGTGAGACTCTGTGCCTAGGTCCTCCGGTAGAGAGGTTAGAACAAGGGTACCCTTTTTCTGTAGTCTATTTTAGTAGGGAAACGGGTTTGTCACCGGGTTGGGTTACATGAAATTCTACAGGAAAACAGCTTGTTTAGAGTGTTTTGAGGCCATGTCCTGTGGATTTTCCTGCAGCCAAACCCTTTGAGTTTGGTTGAAGTCCCCTCCAACAGGAAGACTCGTGCAGTAGCAATAGATTCCCTCTGGTCTAAGTCCCCTCCAAAGTATGTTTTCTATATGCAGCAATAGATTCCCTCTAAAGCCAAAAGTATTTTTTGATGTGCAGTAGCCATTGATTTTTAAAGCCAAGTCCCCATCCCCTCCTAAGAAGGGCTTAATAAGGGCTCATTTCGGCTCCTTCCCCCCTACCTCCCTCCCCCCCGGGCCCCCTGATAAAATGATGTGCAGTAGCACTAGATTCCATCTAAAGCCAACAGGGGAAATTCAAAGAAAATATGAATTGCGGGTCTCCTGCGTGTTGTTTTATTTCTATATATATATATATAGTGAGTTATCTTATTTTAATTTTCACCACTGCAAGTAAAGGAAGTACCATTGAACAACTGCAAGTTTGGTCAGCTGCCCTCTCAGAGGTCACAAAGGACTTCCAAATCGAAAGTGGATGAATTTACTTGGCGGTTTCTCTTGAACCGATCGCCACTTTTGGAGAACCCGAAAATCGAAAGAGGACACCCTGCCTACTTGGACCCAATCCAAATCCAAACCGCGGATATCGCCTGCCTGTTTCAAGCGGCACATCTCAGGTACTGAACATATTCGGATGCTTCTCAAATTGGGGACCACTTTCTCCAGGCAGGAGGTGTCCTTTCTTTTGAAAACCCTTAAAAGGGGTCTCCAATTTTGACACACACCCACATGTTCGGATTCATCCTACTTTATCTACCCCACAAAACATGTTTTTGGAGGACACCCCACTGATGTTGACCTTACTGTTAAAACACTGAATACTAAGCATGAAACTACGCTTTGATAGCGGTTTGTGTGAGAACAGGGGGGCCAAAGATGGGTTACCTTTGGTGTCCCAACAAATCTAGAAAGGCGACCAACTTCACAAACAAATCCAGCGGGGGGGGGGGGGGGAAATTAAAAAAGTATAGTAGGAAAAAGCACAACCCAACGCAGAAATAGCCTTGTAAAAGATATGGGCGTGGCCTGCAAAGTAATATGGAACCCAAAATGGGGGCTCCCCATTTTGGAGTTTCCTCTACAAATTGTTATTTTGGAGGGATCCATGTTAATCTGCAGGGGAGTATGGTTTAAGTTCAACCTCCTCTTGCCTTGGCTTCCTTTCATACCACTCCTGGCCCAGATAGGGCCTGCAGCACCCCTCCCCCGCCCCCCAAAACCCCAAAACCCCGGCCGGCTGCGGGATGATCTTCATGAGCGCGGCGTAGAGCGCCACGCCCGCGCCCTTGCCGAAGCCGCACAGGATCACGTTCTTCCACCCAAGACCTCGTCGAAAGACCGGGTCCGGGGTTTCAGCTCGTGGTGCGATGGGATTTTGCCCATCAGCGGAATATCTCGACAAGTGGGGAAACTGATAGGTGACGTCCACCAGAGGGTCCCCTTTTAAACTTGCTGGTTCTCAGCAGGGACAGAGGGAATGACCCCTATAAACAATTCGATATGGTTTCCTTTCAGGGAATCCCAAAACGGTTCATTCCCAACAGTCAAAAGGCGGTGCGAAATGAATTCCGTCCATCCACCTTTGGCTCCCTTGAAACACTCAGAAGGGTACCAATCCCAACATGAGCGATGTTCCCTCTAGCTCCCCTTCAAAACAATCTCAGTCTGCTCGCTTTCTCTGCAAAAACAACTTAAAGTGAACATGCTCAGGGTTTCTCAAGTTACAATTGGGGGGTGTTCTCCCTGCATCATGTTAAGGGTGAAAGGCCTGCAAAGACAGCCAAAATGATGCGCGAACGATCTCTCTTCCATAGATTCGGGGGAAAGAGCCCCAGAACTTGTTACATTTGCCCCTAAAATACAATGTTGACCCAAAGGTTGTCAGAATCCAACCACTAGAAGGGGACACTCCCTACTAAATAGCAGGGTTTTATGTATCCGGGGTTCCGTTTCCTAAATTCATCTTCCGAGAAACTTGAAGTCCAAGTATTGGGGAGGTGAGTGATTCACGTGTTCACTGAATATTCGGACCCGTTCCTAGTCATATAAGGCTCATGCTTAGTCCCAGTCAAGTTTTGCAAGCCAAGCTAGCTTGCTCCGGCCAAAACGTGGCTTGCCCTTGTCTCCTCCTATCTCGCTTCCTAAATTTGATTGGCACGGGAGTTAAGGCCAAAAAACACCAGACAAATCCTTGAATATCTCGAATGCGCGAATTTCCAGGATGAACTGACCATCCCCATTCGTGTTTCGACGTTTCGCCGTTTCGCGAAGCGGTTCTCAACCCCGAGGATGCGGAGTTGAGTCTGTTTCGGCGGCTGGTCATCCTCTCCTCTTGACATGAAACTCCCAAACCCTCCATGTTTAGAGGAATCTCCAAAATGGAGGGACCCCCCCATTTTGTGGGTCCCATGTTCATTTGCAGGGGAGTAATGGAGTACTGATTCAAAACCATAACCAGGAAAGCCATTGCAGCGTGATAGTGACTAGTAGTGATGCTTTTTCAGGGCCATTAGGAGCATGAAGGCAAGGGTTGCTTCTTGCCGTGGCTCTGAATCAACATTGGTTTGCCGGGTGGCAACAGTTCGCCTTGCCCTGGCAACCCGAACAAGTTTATTCTTTTTGTTGCAAGCTCGGCTCTAGCATGAGAAATGGTCATCGCCTGTCGTGCACACAAATTAGTCCCCTCACAGCCTCTTCTGGGTTGTTGAACATGACAGGCACCATGCGGGAAACCGCTAGCATCTGGCACAAGGATGAAGAACTGATTTGAGCAATCCAGTTTGTTACAAACTGTAACGCCAGTCAGAATCACAATATTGCAGGAACTGATTGCAAGATTGATTGGACAGTGTTCTAGGTGAATTATGCTAAATCATCAACCCAAATCGGGGTTCCTTACCGCGGAGTGTTCAAATGGGGCTTCATCCATTCCAACTGGTGCGAAGTGGATCACCATCCACAAAATCTGCATATTGTGTTTTGCATCACGGCCGCGCAAATCCGTGAAAAATCGCGAGGATGTTGTTTGTGCAGACACTATCTCGCCCAAATTTAACTCTGCTGCACGCCCAAACACAGACTTGTGGTTGGGGCAAGGTTTTTGCATCTGAACCAGGGCCTCCATGTTTCGTCTACCCTGAAGCTGTTGTTGTTGAACAATGACCCTTGAAAAATGGGGCAATGACCCAGTATTTGGGGTAATGACCAGCCATTGTTTAAGGGTCATGGAGACTCCAGGTAGAGACCTCAGTTTCAGATATTGGCTGTTCACAAAGAAAGGCTCGTGCAAAGGGGCGCTCGTGCATCCTGTAAACAGACTTTGCCGCCAATTAGAATCGAAGTCTTCCCCCAGTTGCCCCAAAGGACCCAGAAGGAAAAGCTTGACCTGTTCGAACTAGACATGGACCAACTCAGGGGAGCAAAAGGTCAAACGGTCGGTTTTGGGGAAGTAGAGTCTAACTTTTCGTGGTTTAGTGGAAACTGCCCCTAAACCAAACAAAAAGATCTGAAAACCTAAGGAACCGGGTGGCTGGGAACCAAGAATAAAGGTCTTCCCCAGATTAGGGAACCCCATTTTTTGCGGGGCTGACATGTGGTTGGATCAGCCCACATGGACGAAATCCATTTCGCACCACTTTGCAACCATGCATTGAAACCATTCTTCGTTGGTATTCTGAACTAAGAGGATTTCGCAACAGAATCCCCACAAAAGGAGAGATTCTCTGCCCTCAACTTCACCTGGGCCGTCCGTGACCATGGGCTTCCTGTTTCTGTCACAGGTTCTAGTCTGAGTGGATTCGCCAAAAAAAGCTCGAACTTTACGTTTGCCGCTCAAATGGTTGCCTTTAATGTCTATCTAGTGACCTAACTCCAAGCCCGAAATGTGTCTGAAGTCCGAAACGGAGCTCAGGGAGTGAGTCATAGGACGGGTTCTTCTGGGATCTGGGGATCCCATGAACCAAGAACAGGTTGCCCTGGAACCACCAAAAAATTTGACCAACTCTGGGAGGCCAAAAAAGCTCAAGCGCTCGCTCGCGCTTGGGCAAAGTCTGAGCTTTGGAATTTGGTGGACACTGCCCACGCCAACCCAAAAGATCTAAACACCGAAGGAACCGGATGGGCCGGAAAAAAGCTTTGAACTTTGTGTTTTGCCGCTCAAATGAAATTTGTCTTATAAAATATTGAGTGGGATCCAATGGCATTTTATATCTTAGTGGCAAACATGTTTGCCACCTCTCATGGGATCCCATTTTTTTCAGATCCGGATTTCCCATGACAAAAAAAACTTGCCACCTCATGGGATCCCACTTTTTTTGGATCCGGGGTTCCCATGGGACAAAAAAAAACTCTCCTCAGACCCCTCCGCGAGGCCGAGGTGCCGCTCTGCTTCAGCTTGGGCTCCAGCGCCTCCGCCAAGGACCGGCCCAGCACTTCCACGTCGTGCAGCATGTCCAGGTCCTACCGCGCGGGCGCCGAAGGCCAAAAAACCAAACGACGAAGGGGTCGTGTGCCTCGTGTTTTTTTTGTTGGGGGAGTGCCCATGTGTTGCTTGGGTTTTGGAGGGAGACCAGCTCGTGGGTTGGTGGGTGCCAAGTTTTTGCTTGGGTTTTGGAGGCAAACCAGCTCGTGGGTTGGTGGGTACCCATTTCTTGCTTGGCTTTTAGAGGGAAACCAGCTCGTGGGTTGTGAGTACCCATTTGTTGCTTCTGTTTTTTGAAGGAAACCAGCTCGTGTGGTGGTGGGTACCTGTTTTTTGCCAGCTCGTGTGGTGGTGGGTACCTGGGTACCTGCTTTTTGCTTTGGTTTAGAGGGGAACCAGCTCGTGCGTTGGTGAGGGAAACCAGCTCGTGTGGTGGTGGGTACCTGGGTACCTGCTTTCTGCTTTGGTTTTTGGAGGGAACCAGCTCGTGGTTTGGTGAGGACCCATTTGTTGCTTGGGTTTTAGAGGGAAACCAGAAGTAAAACCGAAATACATTTGGGGGGTCCTCCTATTTTGAGACACCCCCGTCTGCTTTCTCGGTCGTACATCCCTTGCGATCACTGATCAATTGTTGCTGGCCCGATACTTCCAGTCAAGCCACTATAGGGAACCCTTCGGGTTTCTTACCTCTAGCTTGCCTGGAAGCACTGGGATGTCAATCGTCACTCTAAAAGTCTCAAGTCTAAGGGTATGACTTTAGCGATAACAAGATAACAAGCCGATCTCACCAAACGGAAAACCAATTGACAAGGACCAACTGAAATCAAGGGAAAAGGGAACCTTCTTGACTGCTTGTAGAAAAGGGACCTGCTTGTAGAAAAGGTTTAAGAATCTACATTTTTTTTGCTGAAACCCCATGATAGCCAAGGTTGAATCATGAAAGGAACGAGTTCCTCCCGGAGTTTGCACCGAAACCTTCTTCTTAGAACTGGGTTGCTTTGAAAGCGGCCCGTAGGCCCCAACCAAAGATCCGTGATCGTGTCACTAAAACCCGTGAACCAAGAACAGTAGAATGAGTTCATGCACGCACTTCAGGTGGTTCGAATTTTCCGGCTGGTGTCCTTTTTAGGCAAGTACCGAGAACAGCAAGTTTAGGCAGGGACCAACCATACATGCCTCACCTTGTTCCTTTTTTTCCGCTCTGGTAGGTTACCAGGTAATTTTAGCTGTAGGTTTTACCATGCCGATAGTGGCGAGAAGCACTGGGTCACAAAGGCCGAATTTCTCGGGGTATGTTTGGTTTGGCTTCGCACGCGCTGCAGCGGCCAAATCTCAAGGGACGCGCGGTCCTCTAAGAGCTCAGTCTGGCATCGTTGTATATACATGTATTAATACTTTCTGTGGATGGTTGCGAAATCCATTTCGCACCACCCAAGAAACCCGGGTTTCTGATGATTCCCCTGTACATACCCACAAGCAATGGTTTTAACCATGGTTTCAAAGTGGTGCAGGAGTCTGTCCATCCACAGTATGGGTTGTCCTCAGATCCCCTGCTAAAAGTTTAGCTTCTTGTCGGAGATTTGAACACCCCCACTAAACCCTGAAAACCTACAAACGTAAAAACCTAAAAACCTACGGGGATGGCGGGGAACAACCAAGATACAAATGTGGTCACCCCCTTTTAAAAATATGAGGTTTTCCCTGAGCATGTATACATATTCTTCCTTTCGTGTATGGGTCTATCTTCTTTTGAGGGTACCCCTTTGGGGGGCTTGCCTTAAAAGGGGAAGGGAAAGTAAACCCCCATTTCAAGATACAGCCCTATGATCTTTGGGGTGTCCAGCCTCCACCCATTTGCCGCTTAAAACTGTTGCTGTGCTGACGGTACATATGGGTGTGTCTTAAAGTAGGGGACCCCGAGAAAAAGACATATGGGTGTGTTTCCTGTTCGTGCTTTAAAACCCACTCCAAGCATGGTATCCTCAAAATGGTGGTTTTCTGTTTGCATTTCCTTTAGAACCAACCAAAAAGGGACACCCATGCTCGTCAACCGGCTTCACATAATCCGTGACATGCGCCCGCACCTCATCTGAACCATCTGCACAACATGCCGGCACAACGTCTTCATTCGTCAGGGCGTTTTCGGGTACCCGTGTTGTTGCTTTTGTTCCTTCCAACTTAGCAGGATGCAACCATGGATTCCGGGCCAACTGGGATTACCCTCCCACCGACTAGCATGGAAGTGCACAGACCCCTGTAAAAAGATGACTTTCCGCCTGGAAAGGGGGTTTGCGCACAAACCCATGTTAGTTGGCGGAGGGCCACCCTTACCATGGTCCTACTTGCGTGGCTCGCACCCCAAAAAATTGTGTGAACGCTCGCTGGACTCCCCGACTACTGTGGATGGACGAAATCCTGCACCACTTAAGCAACCATGGAATGGTTCGATTCCCCAACGTAAACACCAACACATGTTATGGTTTCCTCCATGGTTTCAATTTGAATACCAGCAAATGTTGTGGTTTCCACCATGGACCATGGTTTCAATTCTTGCAGGTTTTTGTCCACAGTATGAGTGTTTTTTTTAGGTGTCCTTCGGGTTCCTTAGGGAACCCCCCCTCAGGACTCGCTGCACTCGAGGCCCGACTCCTCGTTCTCGAAGCTGGTGCGGCTGCGCATGTACCAGCTGCCATCCGTGACCTCCGTAGAGCCCACCTGGCAAACGAAGCAGCGCCTACCCTCGGTGGAGACCGAAAACACGGGTGAACTCCAGGAACCGGTTTGGATGCGGTTTTTGCGAACCCACCTCTGTAGGATAGCAAAAGAGTACTAAAAGAGTATTAAAGGAGGACCAACTAATAAAACAACGTGGGGAATCCACAGAAAGCGCATCCAATCCGTTTGCTGGATGGACCCTGCCCACATAACCAACTATGGGAAAACATGGTAACCTCTACACCGGAGCCTACCTGAAAAGTCAACCCCGTCTTTTTTTGTTGCATGGATTTGCATCGCCGGCCGCAACCCGCAACCAACTGCCGACTTGGGATTGAACCGATGGCCGCATGACCCCTGAAAACAGCCCACCGTGGGTGCCCTGAGCCTTGAGGGCTTCGACTTAACCTCACTTGCCCAAAAGACCTGGAAATAGAAGGTTAACCTTTTGGGACCTTTACTAAAAATGGACCAAAATGAGAAAACCAAAAGGTCAAAAGGTCGGCTTTGGCAAGTGAGCAACTCCAAAACCAACTTTCAGCCACCCAGACGCTCCGATCGGCTTCGGCTTATGGAGGACCCAGACCCTCCAGTGGAAAAGTCCAGAGGGGTTTGGGGGTCAAACAAAAACCTGGCTGTTTGAGGACCCAAAATATATCGGGAGCGTCTGGGAAACAAAAATATCCACCCATGTTCGGAACTCCAAAACCAAGATTGAAAACGATACCGACCCATGTTCGGAGTAACCCCCACGTTGGCTCGAGAAATCCCACGCGCCAAACACAACCAAAAAGGCTCGGTTGCTTTCTACTCCCCTGCTAAAAGTTTAACTTTTAGTGGTTTAATACGGAAAACCCAGTTGACAAAAACTTAAAGTCCTAACATCCAGGCAAAATGCACCAAAGTAAATGTGTTTGTTTTTGTTTCCCTTCGTTCTCCCATTGTTCTCATTCGAGAAGCCAAACAAATCAACCATGTCTCAAAGACCCTCTTTTTGCATTCGTTGGCAAAATGCACCTTTGAAAAGCCTCCCATATGGTTCTGCGCCAAAACATAGTCGGAAATTCCACGCGCCAAACCACCAAAAGCCTCCCCTTCGGATCTCGGCTCGGCTCGGCTCGCGTTCCATACGCCTCGAACTCCAGCATGCCCTCGCCCGCGGGGTGCTGGGACCAGCTCAGCGACACCAGGCCGCTTCTGCCCAGCACGTTGGACACGTCCTGCGCGGCGACCAAAACGCGCGGGGTGTATAAAAAATGAGACACCGGGTTGCTTTCCTTGGCTTCCCCACAAAGCCCACAGTTTCCCGAACCAAAAAGCCTCCCGGGAGAAAAAAACAGATGCGCGCTGTGAACAAGCTTGGTGAACAAATTTTGAGACCCCGGGTTTCCTTCGTCCACGAGGCTGATTTACAAATGGGGGGGGGTCCGGGTTTATTATTGGTGGAAGGGATTAAAAATTGAGACACCGGCTGGGTTTCCTCGGCTGCCCGCAAAGCCAAAGAAAAATCGGAACACCATCCAAAAACCGGATTTGTTTTATTGATTTTTTTAAGAAAAGAAAACAACTGGGAGGGGTTTCCCACGTTGGACACGTCCTGACCAAACAAACATAAGCGTCCGGAGGAAAAAAAACAACAACAAAAAAACAACGAAAAAACTTGAGACACCGGCTTTGCGGCGCGGGGGCCCTGGATGGCTAGGTGTCCTTCTGGACAAATTGAATCCGAAATGACACAAACCAAACCGAAACCAGCGCCATCTGCGTTCAAAACCCAACAGAACCCCTATGCCTGAAACTTTTGGCAGTATGGGTATGAATGTTGATAGGGCATCCTTCGGTGGACATGGTTTAGGTGTCGAGATTCATGTCCACATAAGGCGGAATCTGTGGATGAACGAAATCCTGCACCAGCCAAGAAACCCCTGGTGTCTGACTCGATGCCCCTTACCATAACAAACATCATGGTTTTAACCATGGTAACTCATTTCGTGCGAAGAAACCAATTTCGATTCCAACCATCCACAGTCGTGGTTCTTTCGGGTTCCTCAGGGTTTCGGGAGCCTTAAAACAACCCGCCCCTACCGGCGTGGTCGCACGAAGATCCCATGGTCGCGCTCCGCGCGCGGAATGCGTTCCGCGGGGAATGCGCCTTGAGCGCCACGTGCTCGGACTTGGGATTGTCGCCCACCCAGACCACCAGAGACTCGGGCCGCCTGCCAGAATAGAGCGTTTTGGGGAAGGGAAAGCGTACGAGAGCGTTTCGGGGTTCCGGGAAAGCGCATCCATTTTTTTTTGGGGGGGGTCAGGGTCCCGTTTGGGGTGCAGAGGGAAACCAAACCCGGTGGCAAGCCACTACAGTAGGCAACCAGAAAAGCAAAAAAAACATGATGTAAAACCTAGAGGTAGCCATACCTGGTTTACTAGAGTCGTAGCTGGAAGCTCTGGGAAAGGGAACCCTACCACTTTTGGGGTCCCCTATTTTAAGGCAAAACGGTCAAAATCCTCGGTTTTCCTTCTACAACTATAATCCTACCCAAACGTTGGGGTCTGACACTTAGGTGTGTTTCGGTTTTAGAGAACCACACGGGTGTTGTGGGGTACCCCTTCTGTGGCAAAGGGAAACGAAAAAAAAGAATGGGGCGGTCCCCTAAAAAAGACCGACGAACTACTAAGGTGTGCCTTTTTTCTAGCAAACTAACAATTGGGTGAGTTCCTCTTTGGTGTCCTGTTAAAATCGACCAAGGGTACCGAGCCTCAAGAAAAACAACACACCCAAGTAGGTTGAACACCCATGTGGGTGTTTTTTTTGGGACCCCCCCCCCAAAAAAAATAAAGAAAAAGAAAGGAAAGAAGTGTGCTTTTTCTTTTCGTGTTCCCGACAAAAATGAGTACCCTCAAAAGAACAGACACATTCAGGTCCCCATTCTGAATTCCGCCCAACTCTTTCACTCGTTTCCTCACCTGAGTGGATTGGCAACAATGTCCAAACTGCAACTGCTTAAAACCGGACACGTAGGGGAGTCCGCGGCGATTTGGGGTAGCCAGAGGATCCCAGGCGTTTCGCCACTAGGTATCCCTTCACTGTTTTCCTGTTGGTTTAAGACAAAGTGGTTCTTATACCTACTATGCAGGTAAATGGATCCACTGGGGTAGTCAAAGAGGGGAAACCCTGCGTGACTCCCTGTGGGTCCATTTAACTGCATAGGTCACCCAGAGGCTTCCCCACCCGAGATAGCAGCCAAAGGGGAATAGGTTACCTACCAGAGTGGCTTGTGCTGGGGTCCACTGGGATGGTTCAAAACCCAGGAAGACGAAACCCGGTCAAGGATCAGGGGTCACGGGTCAAGAGCAACTGCTAACTAAGAAACCTGAAAAACTCTACAACTCTTGGTATGGTAGCAAACAATAAGTCGTTTTTTGCAGCCGCCCAGTAACAATGAACAGAACCAAAAAAAACGAAAAAGCAAAACAACATGCCAAGAACAGTGAAGAAGATTATGCAAACCAGCAACCATAGGAGGTAACGGTGTGTTTTTTGCTAGGGCGGTTTTTTTCCCAGGGCTGCTTTTCCGCAGGCTGGTAACATCCCCAGCATCACCAGCATCACTTGGACCTGGGGTTGCCTGTTGGCTCTGATTTCATGGCAGCTGGGAGTTCCTGGCTGGTTCAAGTTAGGGGGGCTTTTCAACAGGACGATTTTGTCAAAATGCCACAAAACTGGGCTGTCCTTGCTAAAAGTGAACAACTTTTAGTGGGTTCAATGGAAATCCCCACAACCTGCAGCCCGCCTCTGCTCGCCCAGCTCCAGCGTCGTGGGCAAAGGCCCCTCCGGCTGAGTGGCCGCAACGCTCCCATCCTCAGAAAAGCCGACAGCCCAGAGGTGATAATGTTGCTACCTCAGATTTCTGCGGCTTGGAATCTACTGATAAATCCCCGGAGAACTAAAGCCAAAGCCGGAGAAATCTGGGGTACCAAAAAACCCTCCATCCAGCAGCTCATACCCATGGCAGCCCGAACTCCTCAGAAAACGCGGCCACCTTTTTCGGAAAGAACCCCTGGTTGATCCGAGTCCCCTGCAAATACCAACAAATGGTGACCCTGCCTTGAAGCTATGAGAAAAGCTTGACTCAACTCACTCAAACTTTCTCATAGCTTGACTCACTCAAACTGAGTAACTTGACTCACTCAAAGTAACTCAACTGGTACACCACTGGTTACTTGAGAAAGTCAAAGCGAGCCCCCCTGGCTTTAAAGCCACTTTGAAACGATGAGAAACCGGTTTTCCTTGGTATTGGGGACTCGGATCAGAAACCAGGGTTTCTTGGTGCGATCAAAAGAACACGGAGCCATCAAAAAGCTATGGCAGAAATGACCAAAACCATGAGACCTTGGAATAGATGTGTGTGTGTGTCTTTTCCAGGGGAATTCCCCCCCCCAAAAAAAAAGAAGAAGGGAAAGCCGGCACTGTCCTGTTGGATTCCCTGGAATTCAAGAGCTACCTGGACCCTCAAACTTCAAACCCCCCCCCCAAAAAAAAACAAAAACGGAATTCGCCCCATATTTTTGAGGCAATATCCACTTTTTGTTTAGGAATTGTGAGGGTCCAGGTAGCCGATTCCTGCTGACCCGAATCAAACTGGTTGGTCATGACCCCGAATCTCCCATTTGCTTAAGCCCCCAAAAAATGAAAAAAAATCCAGTAGGGATAGATTCCCTTTAAAACCAACAAGGGAAATAACAAAATAAAATATAAAAAAGTCCTAAGCAAATGGAAGGAAGTAGTTTGGGCAAAGACCGAGTTGAGGTGTTTCCGAGTTTCCAACTTTTAAATTCAGCTCGCCATGTTAGTGTCCTGTTGGTTTCCCTTTGCAACCACCCTAAAAAACACCCTAAACAAGACACACCATTGGTGGTTTGGGGCTTTGAATCCCAGGTTTTCGTAGGTAAATGGAAGCCCTTCCTTAACCACCAAACCACCAACCAAGCCAAAGCACCTTGCAGATCTGAAGCCAATAAATTCCGAGATTGGGTCAGTTTTGGGAGTGTCCATCAGTAATACACATGGGGGTGTTCATTTGTAAGTAAATACATGTAGTATATAACTTATGGATACAGTAGTTTCCTCATGATTCATTGGGGGAGGTGCGAGGGGCACCGGAAAGGGAGAAAAGCCCGGGACAAAATAAGAAGCTCCCATGAAAATATTTGGACAAGGTGTGTTGGAAATTTGGGCCCAAACCAACGTCGACTACCATGACTACCAATAATATTGTCAGCTACGGGACAGAACTAGATGTGGAGACTCATATATCCATGTACCACCTACTCATGCACAAAGCGGGGAAAAAAAAAAAAAAACGCTTGGATATTCTGAGGAATGCCAAACAATTGCTTCAGATGCCAATTCGACAGCAATATGTTCAACCAGAATGGTCTTTGTTGGATGGTCCAAATCCTATATATCAACACATAAAACATTCATTTGCGTTGTTGCTGCGAAAAAAGAAAAAAGGGAAACAACACCTTTTTCAAGTGTTCAACCTACCACGAGAAGAGGGGAGGGTGCTGGATCTTATGAACATGTGCATGGTCGCCTCCGGATCAATTCGGAGGATCATGCATATTATAATCAGTGATTACGCTTCATGTTGGGAGCTAACTCATTTTAAGTGAGTCCGCTAATGAGCACTTACAGGGGCAGGGCAGGGTACTTAGTAAGTGAGTACTCATAAGTCTCCTAAGTGGATTATAACCAGACGTACTGACCACTTCTTAAGTACCCTGCCCCTTTAAGTATAGTCCTCAGACTTTCTTCTGAAGTTGACATTCATTCTCCCCCGACTGCGCAGCGGTTGTGGAAAATCACCCTTTCTGCGCTATCAAAGTAGGACATCCACTGAATAGCCCATTTTTAGCTTGAGTTCTAAATTCCATGAACTAAAAAAAGACGAAACCAAGGGCAACCAGCAAAGAACAGAGATTCATGAAACGAATGTGCAAGATCTCCCACATTCCGAATGTGCTTGCTGACTGGATCCGTGCCTATGCTTTGCCGGACGCCCTTTTTGGGCTCGTCTTCAGGCAACAACTACTTCCCGGACGTTTGCAACGAACACCCCAGGGCAACCGGGCTGTCCAAACTGATCCCGCTAAAAACATGACCTTCGGTCGGCAAAAACTCCGAAACCCAACCACCAAACCAAGTAAAGCGACCTAAGACCCAAGTTGAAGACCGCTACCCCTGGGCGCCCAGGAAAACAAATCGCAACTACCCCAAGATTGAAGCTGTTACTTGGCTGTGGTTGTCAAAGCCAATGGGATCCCATTTTGGCTGGTAGGTGAATTCACCCCCCATTTTAGGTTTCCTATTTGAGTGGTTGGATTGAATCGGATGTTCACTGGGGGTACGATTTGGCTTTTGACCCATGGCCATTTCTGAAAAAAAGCCGAGGAACACATCTCCACCGCCCTTTCGCCCTTTCGCCGTTTCGGGGGGATCGTCGGATCCGCTTTGACGGGCCGTCGGCCCATCCGAGGCGCAGTGAAGAGCAGCTTCAGCCAGTCCTCCTTCAGCTTCTCACGCTCGTCCTCGGAAAAATGGGCCGTCAAAAAGCCAAATCGGTTAGCCCCCAGGTGAACATCCGATTCAATCCAACTACTCAAATAGGACACCTAAAATGGGTGGTGAATTCACCTACCAACCAAAATGGGATCCCATTGGTTTTGACCCACAGCCAAATTGAGCGAGGCAAGAAGCGAGGCAGCCGGGGGCGGGTTGGTCCCTCGGAGTCGTGAGGGTGTGGTGAGCCTTCCAGGTGCTTTTGAGCGCCGCCTGGGGAAACAAAAAGGAGAAACAAAAGATAGGGCTTTCCCCTGAGCTGGGAGAAATGAAAAGAGCAGACAAAAAATACGTGCCAGTGGATGCCCAATTGCCAAAACGACGGGGAACTATTTCATATTCAGCAAATGGAAGCAAAGGGACGCCAAAAAACGGGCTGGAAATGCACGGAGACTCATGAAAGCGGCCGGGTTGCTTGGTGGGGCCAGGAGCGCTTTTTGTTGCCGGTCGCGTATTTTTGTTGGGTGCTTTTATGGAGGGCATCCCATTTTGGGGAAAGGGAAGGCCTCCATTTTGGGGGAGGTCCCTTTCGGTTGGCTTTGATGGGATTTCTAAAAGGTGGTTCTTTTTGAGTCGGTACCCGCATTTAGTTGGCGAAACGAAAACCAAAAGGAAAGCCAACACTTTGGGGGTCCGATTCCTAAAAAAAAACAACACATGAGGCAACCAAACTGTGAATCCGCCAGCTGTTTGTATGCAGTTGGCCCTGAAATCAGGGATCCTTACATTATACACCTGAACATTGCCTTGTACATGGTGGTCTCCCTTTATTTTGAAGGTGGAAGAAGCCATGTTTCAAATTGGCAAAATGTATCTTTTAAGGAGCCCTGCTAAAACGCTGGATTTCCCTCGAATTCCCTTTAAACCAATCCAGGAAAGGGTCGCCAACCCCGGGGCCCAAGGCAAGTAGCATAGGTCTCACAGCAGATGCTACTGTGGATGGTTGCGAAATCCATTTCGCACCACCTAAGAAACCATGGGGAACCACCTAAGAAACCCCGATGTTTTTTTCCAAAGAACAGGCAGTCCAACCCTAGTGTCCTCCTCCTTCTTCTTTGCCGCGTCGTTGCCCCCCTGCCAGCTGCCAGCTCGGCGGTTCGGTTTGTGTTACTGATGGACAAAATCCATTTCGCACCGCTTTGAAACCATGGTTGAAACCATAACGTTTGTTGGTATTTAGAGGGGAATCATCAGAAACCAGGGTTGCTTTGGTGGTGCGAAATGGATTTCGTCCATCCGCAGTATGGTCAAGACTTCAAACAACGTGCCCTCTTTTTGCATCTCCCAGAAGACAAGACGTACACAGTGCAGAAACAACCCAGTAGAAGCTGCCAAGAATTGGGTGGTTAGTCTTCTTGATTTGAACCCTCTGGTTGTAGTGAAACACGGAAGCTGCGGGCAACAACTACACTCGGATAGGTATCGATTCAGGGGTAGCAAGTCATGTGTTGACAAAAAATGTCGGTTCTAGCTTCCGTGTTTTTGAAGCTCCCAGTCCTTGTGAAACGCTGTGGTAATAATGCCTTGTGTGGGTCATGGTCTTGCTTACCCAACCAAGAGTTTCTGAATACTCCTAGCATCAATTCGTCGGAATCCATTAAATCACCCCTATGCCTGCCCACCCCATCCGAGCAGGTCTAGAAAGGAACCATGCAGATTGGTTCATCATGAACCCAAGCCCTTGGAAAAAATGGGCACTGAAAACCCATTGACTTTTGGTTCGCCGAACGGTGGAACCACCGGCCGTTTTACTAACCTCTTTTGCCATCTGATTGTCTCGGCAGATCTGAAAAAGGGGCCTTCTGGGCCTACAGAGACCTGGCCAGTCCGAGCCTGGATTTCACTCATTGGAGGTCTCCCTTCGCCCGGTTTTGCATTTGCCTTGAATGATTTACCAGGCGCCGAGCGCCTTTTGACATAAAGGCGACCCAAGATGCATCAGGATCCGACTCTCACCAATCCTGTTCTTGCTTTTTCACCCGAAAGCCGGTTGAACTCCTCGTAAAAACCTTCTTGCAGCGCACTGAAACGGTCCAATGGCCAACTGGAGCCACTCGAGTCGAAGTAAGGAATCCTCCTTTGGCGGAAGGCTCGTTCTAGGGCAGGAAACCACCTGTTTCTGTTTTTTTCGCAGGTTGGCAAGGGAGACATTCCCAAGCGTTCAGGATCTGCACACCGTACCATTCCCAAACCGCCGAAGCATCATTGGACCCTCTCAGGAAGTCAGGAGTCAGGACGGAGGAAGCTTTGGGACCTCATGTGAGGCATTCCCATTCATTTTCGGAAAAAAGATTGGTGCCGGAGGGCCATAAGAAACAGGCTGGTCTTCTTTCCGGGGGTACCAGCACACACGGACGGTTTTGCCGACCTTCAGAACCACCTTCTGGGTCTCGCATCCACTGGCACCCAGTCCATTTGAAAGGAAGCTGATCCAACTCAGGACCTCGAAACTTCAGGTGCCATGTTATAAATAGAAAGTAGCAAAGAAAAGACACCCGCAGTCTCCATGACCCAGGAAAAAAAAGAAGAAAAAAACTTGGGTCATGACCCCTAAAAATGTTAGGCCAACCATTTTTCAAGGGGTCAGAAGAAGAAAGACTCAGACCACTTCCCCACTTCCCCCTTGCCAAACCTTCCTCCCAAATGGGTATGGCTCAAAAACAGGTACCAAAAATGGAACCCTGGTAAGCGGAAGATGGACCAAAGCCTGCGTAACCCTAGCTCTTTAATTTTGAGCCACTGCCAAATCGCTCCATGCCTTCACGGAGCGGGGGATGTCCTCCATGGGCTCCGGGTTGCTCTGCAGCCTTCGCTTGGACCCATGAGGCGGTTTGGCCCCTTTAGGCGGGACGTGGGGAGACTTGAATTGTTTTGTTTTTTTTTGTTTTTATGTGTTTTTCTATTCTTTCTTTTTGGGGGGAGATGTTCAAGCTAGTAAGTAGGTTGCAACCATGGTTACAAGTGGTTGGCAACTGGGGTGATCGTATGGCTATAACCTATTTAGTCAGTTGGTCGAACATCCAAGTAGGATCCACGAGGGGCCAGCTCTTTTGTTACATGGGCAGGATTTCTAATGGCTTCCCACTCAAGGCAACAAAACAGCAGACATTTCGAAAGAACAAACACCTTTGCTTGAATTCTGCATCTAAGAGCCCATTCTGGTTTGTTTGTTACCCGCATTGTTCATCCCAGGCCTTCTTGGGATATCTGAGCACCGGTGTGATCCTTTGAGCGTCGTATTGGAAGAAGTTTTTTGGCGATGTCTTTCTTCCGGTGCGGTTCCAGTCGCTCCCCCGACGATTTGCCAAGCCCTTGGCAAATTGTGCAATTCGTTTCTCCTGGGAACTGGAAAACGCAACGTTTCAGTCATCTTTGACACGCCGCATGTATGTTGCTGGCTTCCCTATATTTCCGCTGTAGACATCACCTCGCCAATGGGCCCACTAAGGATTCAAACCCATACCCCTGTCCACTGGGGTCACTGGATTCCCCCTTTAGTGGCAGTTTACTGCTGGGTTCCAACAAAATTGCCACAGGAGGTCCAACAAGGGAAATGGCGGAACCCCAGGGCTTGATTCAGCCAACGCCTGGACTGCCGGCTTCCGAGAAAAAAAGCCGCTTCACCAAATGAGGAGGAGAAAAAGTCGCCCAGGTGCAAAGCCTTCGGTCAAAGCAAACAGGTGAGTCCAAACAAGGGGAAACCCATCAGGCCTAGGTAGCTGAGTGGTAACTCCCCCAGTCAACCCCGGTTCATGGTGGAAAAGCAAAGTCTCCCAACCGGATCCAAGGCGAAAACCGGAAGCCCGTCAACTTGAAGGGTCTCTGGAAGAGTCGCCTTATTTACCCCAAATCTCCCTCATATAGAGACACCCAAAAAATCGAGATGCAACAAATTTGTTTTGATTTCTCTAAGGGGCTGAGAGTCTATTTAGAGACACCTGTTCAAACCAACCTATTCGACAACATCAAACATCGAGACAAGTCCAACATTTAGAAACACTCTACTCCCAACAACTCGAGATGCATCAACAAAAATGTGTTTGAGATTTCTCTAAGGGGACCGGTCTGCCCGTGTAAAACCCTTCTCTCCAAAAGGAAGGCTGACACAACTCGGATTTCCAGAAGCTTTGTCCCAACCCACCTTTGCTTCTATGAGTTTCCCTGGTACATGGTAAATGGCATATGGGTGTGGCTCAAAATTAACCAGGAGGGGCAAACCGCAGGTTTTGGTCCATGTTTCCACTTACCAGGGTTCCATTTTGGTACCGGTTTTGTGAGCCACAGCCATATAAAACCACTCTAAACCAGCGGAACCCATCTATTTCTAACCAAACTCACCGGTCCAAGAACGCCTATGATCAAGAAGCTCAAGCTCTGTCAAAGTCACCACTAAGTCACCCCGATTCGGTGGGTTAAAGGGAAACACCGAATCCAACTTCCCCCTAGAGTGACACCAATGACACCAGATCCGCCAAAAGCGGGTGACGGGAAATCCAATGGAAAGTGCAAAGATCCGTTGCCAGATTGCCCTAAAGTCAAGAAAACCATCCCAGCTTCTGATCTTAACCCCTAGAAACAGTACAACACTCGGTTGCTTTCTGCTCCCCTGCCAAAAGTTTAACTTTTGGTGGCTTGATGGAAAACCCAGTAGTTGGCAAAAAGTTGTTCAGTCCTAACATCCCTTGGCAAAATGCACCAAAGGAAACTAAACAGAACAAACTCAAAAAGACTAAAATTTGCTTAGAGAAGCGAAGAGGGTCCGGATTGCCAGGGTGTTCATAAGGCTCCTGACTTTAACCCGCAAAAACAGAACCAACACAAAATCATGGGGGTCATTACCCAAAAACATGGTTGGCCATTGACCCAGCTTTTAAGGGTCAGAAGGAGACTCCAGCTACATGGGTGCTCTGTTTTTGGACCCTCTTCAAAGGGACAACACAAGGAAAACCAACACTTTTGGGGGATTTGTTTTTCCGAGTTTGATACATACCCAACAAGCGCATAGCTTGCTCAGGAGCTCATCCTGCAGCGTGGGGAAGATCAGCACCACCTGCGCGCTGTCCGAGGCGTCGGCCGCCCTGGCGAAGGCGTCGCTGATGGCGTCCTCCCCGACCTTGTAGAGCACCTCGAAAGGCCGATGTGTGTTTTTGTTTGCTTTTTGTGTTATTTGTTTTTGTTTCTGTCTTTCTTTCTTCTTCTTTTTTGAAAAAACACATATTGTTTGTTTCGTTGTTTTGTTTGCTTTGTGTTGTTGGTTTGTTGTTTGTTTCTTTGTGTGTTGATGCTATTTTTGTTGTTTCTTTGCTTGTTTCTTTGTGTGTTTCTTTGTGTGTTTCGTTGTTTGTTTGCTTGTGTGCTTTGTGTTTTTTTTTTGCCTTTTGTTTGTTTGTTTTTTTGTCTGTGTGTGTGTGTGTTTCAGGGTACGCTTCGAGTAGGTTCCATTTGCATTAACCTAACCGTCAGGGTCGGGGAGGGGAAAAAAAAAAAAAAAACGAGGCAGCGGAGGGGTTTTCTTACTCAGGTGTGTCCTTCTTCTTGGAAATCGGACCCAGCAAAAAGGTGGGTTTCCTTTAGGCCGATGTGTTTGTTTGTTTCTTTGTTGGTTTGCTTTGTGTTTGTAGTTGTTTGTTTGTTTCTTCGGTTGTTTGCTTTGTGTTTTTGGCTTTTTGTATGCTTCTTTGTTTGCTTTGTGTTTTTGTTGCTGTTTGTTTGTTAAAAACAAGAAACAAATGCGTTTCAGGTAAAACTTCGAGTAGGTTCCATGTGCATGCACCAGGGTCGGAAAACAACCAAGGCAGCGGAGGGGTTTTCTTACTCGGGTGTGTCCTACTTTTTTACAAATCGGACCCAGCAAAAAGGTGGTTTTTTCTTTGGGTGTCCCTTTAATACCTACTTGGGTGTCTTACATGGGCGTGTCCTTGTTTTGGACCTCTCTCAGAGAAAAAAAGGCGGCTTGGATTTGTTGTTGTCGCTCCCAGTAGAACGGCGTTTTCGGCCTTGGTGGTGGTTTGGATTGGCCGCAAGAGAGCTCAGGTGTTGATCTCGTCTCCTAGTTGGGGCGGGGCAGTCATAAACGCCTTCTGTAATAAACGTGCCTGCAGGAAAATAGTGATAGGATATTATAACCATGGTTATAAGTGGGGTTACTGGGGTGATCGTCCCCTTATAACCATGGTAGAACATCCAAGTAGTTGTTTCGTGATTCCTGTCGCTCGAGTCGTGGACCCATTCTTTGCTTCAAGTCTTATTCGAGATGCGGTGTCCAGGGTGAACTTGTTGGCGCAGATCAGCTTTGTGATGTTCTCCATGACTGCCATCATCTTCTTCGCCTCAGATCCCCGCTTTTGGAGTGAAGGGGGGGTGGTTCAAGGCCTAGGGGGGGGGGGTTCTAAGGCTCCCTCAGGCTCCCCCAAAAGAACACAAGGAACCCAAAAAAAAACCGAAAGAACCACCCGTACCGTACCAAAATGCGTTCCCACGGAAAGGATGCGATTTTTCAAACCATTGATTGTTGGTAGTTACAAGTGAATCGTATCATTGCAGGGTTTCTTAGCTGGTGCCGGATTTCGTCCATCCACTCATATCCCCCCTACCTCAAGGAAGGGGTGCGGGAACGATCCCCCAAGCAACCATTTTGCCCAGGGAAAATGGAACCGCAAATGGAGATCTCCAAAACCCCCCTTCCGCAACTCCATCTTTAAGGGGTGGAGTCGATCCACTCATACGTTCCTCTCATCTCACTCCCGATCCAGTGGATTGCCCAAAAGGAGCCACACTTCTTGTAAAAGGCCACTGAAGCAGTCCAAGCCCGAAAAGTGACTTGGCGAAAGTTCGGGACTCAGGGAGCGAGTCACAGACTCGGTCGGTGACATACGGAAAGTTGTATCCACCACATTTTGCGAGCCCGGGTTTTAGGTTCGATTCAGAGCTTTGGGGTTAGGTTCTGCTAGACCAAAGCGGTTTTCAAGGTGCACTTGTCTATTAGTGGAACCCCAACACGGCGTTTCGGTTCCTTTTGTTAAAAACACCCAAAAAGGGGTACCCTCAAAACGTTTCCCTTTTCAAGTTCTCGGGTTACACAAAAACCATCATTCCAAAGGAAACCATTTGGCTATGAATAGAGTTGAAACTACCTGAGTGGTTCATCCCTTTACCCTCCTACAGATTAACATGGAACCCAAAAAGGGAGTCCCCTAAAAGGGGGGCTCCTCTACAAATCATGTTTTTTTGGGTTCGGACCATTTCAGGTCTCCGGGTGTGGTTTTCTTTATGGAACCCACGAAATGGATGGTCTTCCGTTCTTGGTTTCCCTGGCCAACTAGAAAGGGTATTAGCAAAACGACACTCCAACATAGGGCCCTTCACTTGGCACAGGAGCTCCTCCTAGCAGCCGTTCAAAAACAAAATAGGGCCCTTCAAATTCACACCCCTTCAATCCTCTCATCCAAGCCGGTGGTTTGCCCGCCAACCAGCGAGCAAATCCCAGCTGCGTTGGCGGAGAGGGCGTGCACCCAGCGCGCGATGTTGAAGCCGATGAGGCTGCCACCTGGGGAAACAAAAACGGAAGAAGGAAACCCGACACCGCTTTGGGGTTAGCCGATGAGGTTTCCACCTTTAAAAAAAATAGAATGATGACACCCCCGCTTTTGGGGTACGTTTATCGAGTCTCCAAGCAAAGCTGGTTCAAGGGGGTGAAAGTTCACTGCGCTCCCTAAGGAACCCTGCAAAACCCAAGGGAATCCGTTTTGGGAAACCCTAAGGAACACTGGGCTCTCAACAAGCAAGGAGAAAAAGGAAACGAGCCTCAAGAAAGACACGCCTCCAGCTCTCTGCGGCTTCTGATCCAAAACGAGACGCCCCCGATTGGTCAACCGACACTTTGTCAATCCTGTGGCTATCCTTACTCGATGTGTTTACGGAGAGCTTGAGCACCTGGTCATGTCGCCCCTTGCACCTTGGTTGAATCCAGGGTCGGTCCAAAAAATGGAGAACCAGCACCTTCCATGTCAAGTTGCCCCCCCACAACCCACTTATCTGGGCACTTAGGGTATCATTTGGTAGCCCCTGGAAGGTGCTAACTTGTTCAGAAGGGTAGAAGATCAAAGGCTGAAGCAAAGAGCAACGCTGCAAGTGGGAAACTGCTCCATCTGGACGGCTCGTCGCTGTGGTTTTGCAGGTACCCTTTTGTTGGTGGTTTGAGTCGAAACCAAAAGGAAAACCGAAGCCATCTCGAGGGGTCCAACCTTTAAAAAAAAAGGACACACCCATCTACCTGGAGTCTCCGAATCTGACCCGAATAAAAACTGGTTGGTCATTACATTACCCAAAATAATGGTTGGTCATTGACCCATTTTTTGAGGGTCATGGAGACTCCAGGTATGTCAAAGGTGTCTCAGATTCCGAAAACCGATGTCCTACTTTCTCCTCTAGATGTGTCGATAAGGTAAGCTACAATCAAAGACTATGTATAGGACTGAGCCCCCCACCACTACTGAGTTTGCAATCATCAAGCTATGAGCGAACATCAGATTGCTCCAGTCATACCGGAGGTTCCAAAGTTTCCAATGCACGCCTTTGATCCCAAGAAGCTGGCTCTTTGCACATGGTGTGTGTGTGTGTGGTTCTTTGAGGGTAGCCCCCTTGAAATGTCTTGAAAGGAAAGAGACATTGCCAATTTAAGCTGCTCTACTTTGAGACGAAGCTCTTGTCGAGCGCCGTTCATGTCTGACGAAAGCAGACATGCCACCGAAACCGAAGCTGGCCGTGTTCCTAAAAAGGGAGGCAGCGAAATCGGATCGTGGTGGCTGTGTGTGCCGCTTTTCTTACCCCTTAAAACTCCAAGCCCTGGGGAAGTTAATCTTTTACAGACATATAGCCCATGTTACCCAAAAAGTTGAAAAGTTGTGTTTTTTAAGAGGTAAGTTGTTGTAAAAGGTTGGAAAGAAAGCCCTTGTTTCATGGGCTGTCCGTTTTCAGATCCCCCACTCAAAGTGGTGGGTTAACTGGAAACCCCAACGAAACCCTTAAGAGCTAAAAACTAACGGGATGGCTGGGAACCACCAAGTTTACGTGCACACATGCTCGGCATATTGGTCAGATTGGGTCTCTCCAGTTTTATTTCTGGGTGTCCTTTTGACCCAGAATGAGAAGGGTATTCAAAAACAAACTAATATACTTGCGAGACGTAGTCAAAGCCATTTCCTTTCTGCCGGGAAGCAGCTTCCCTCAGAAAGGATGTGGTTTGCAGCTCGGTGCTTTTTGGCGGCGTTCGGGGGTGAATGGCAAAGCAATCCAAAGTGAGGGCAACCGGATAGTGCTAACCCCCGGATTAATGTTAACCCCGGAATAATAAACCCTTGGTTGATTAATAGGGGGTGTCCCCTTTTAGTGGGGATTCGGACCATTTTTGGAGGGAACACCCCTCTAATGGGACGGGTTTCTTAATCCTGGGTCCACATGATGCGTCTGTCTCAAAGCTAGCTTGCTACCCCCAAACTGCGCCGTGCCCTCCTGGCTCTTCAGCCAACACCCGCTCCATCCATCGACTTCTCTCGGCCGAAGTGCCCCAGGCGGCCAGCAGCGGAGGCGCGATCTCGATGGGCTGCATCACCCCGTGCCCGTAGACCACCATCTGGGCGTCCTGCGAACGGCTCAGGCTGCGACGCGACCCCCCCGAATCCTGGGCTGCGAAGCCTGGGCCTCCGCGGGTTTCTTCTGCTTTGTTCTTTTTGTTCTTGCGCCGGGGGGAGTGTCAGGTCTCAAAATACCCCCGTAAGTGCCAGATACCCTCTTTTTTGTTGGTGTCACCATGCGACCCTCTACAACAAATATGTATTAACCCTGGAAACCCGATCGGTCTTCCAAACAGTATCATAAACAGGTATAAGGAACAAGGGCTAAGATGACCAAACATATTGCGTTGCTTTGTTGGCTTCCCTTTAAACAAACCCCAAAACGGTACCCACATAAAAGCGTAAACCCATATCGGTGTGTCTCAAAGGAGCGGACCCCCTCCCCCAAAACGGGCCGAAAGGCGTACTTTTGGTTTCGCGTTGAAGCCATCCAAAAAGGTGGCAAGTACCCTCAAGGATCCGTTGTTTTGGAAATAAGAAACAAGTAAAACAGTACCCTGTCAATTCAGCCATCTTCGGTGTTCCACATTTTGAGACATACCCAAACACGCCATGGCGTATGTATACAAAGAGAAGCAGGTCAAATCTTGGCCATGTTTCCTCTCTGGGCGTACCCCTCCAAGAGGGAAACTCAGCAAACAGGCCAGCACGGGGAAGCACGGCGTCGCACCGATTGGAGGCGCCATCTGTTGAAGCGACGAAAGGAGCATGGAGAAACGAAAGGAACAGCGATGGAGGGAGAAGAGGGAGTGGCTTTGACACCCTCCAAGAAACACGGAAACCACAAGAGAAAGTCCAACTTTTCAAATCAGGTGGGAGGGTACCTCACTGTAGCCGGCCTCCAAAAGCAAACCCGCCTTATTCTTGTCCTGAATCCCTGCTCATCAGTTTCTCTAACAAACTTGGCCAGACAGGCGGACAAAAAGGCACCCCCCCTCCCACCGTCCTCTTTGTTCAAAGGGAACCAAGGCAAAACGGAACATCCGGCAGAAGGGCCACGGAGAATGCTCAAATTTTGTCCCCTTGGCAGGGACATGAAAAATGAAAGGAAACCCGATACAGCGAGGCTTTCCAAAATGGAGGTCCCCCGGTTCGAAGGGCGAGTCCGTCTCTGGCTTCGATTATGAAACCAAGGTGAAGAGGGTACCAACTCTAAAGAGACACGCACATATACACACACGGCTTGCACAAAAAACTGACTCGTGCTTGCAGCCCAGTATAAAATGAACAGAACCAAACAACTACAAAAATCTGAAACAAACAGAAAATGGCAAGAACAGTGAAGACACACACACACACACGATCCATTGGGCGGCCCTTGGGAATACGGAAAGTGTTCTGAAAAAGTGTGGGGTGTTTCTTTCGTGCACTGTTTTACTTCCAACCTCCGAGTAACACCCAGCCAATCTTACAAAAGACGCCGATTATTTTCTGGGGGATTCTTTTTGGATGGTCCAAACCAGAACCCCCCCCAGTCGGGTTCCATTGCAACATGCACGCAATGGTAACACACAACCCCTTAGATGCGATGATGTGATACTATCTTAGCCACAATGGACCCCTGCTAATGCGAACCCCGGCAAAATCGCCCCATCCTACTAGGGCGCCACCCAAAAGTGATCCGGATTCTCACCAGAAGTGGGCGGAGGCTCTTAATCCAGGTTCGCAGTATTTGACTGGTCTACCCAAAACATTTGGCTGGTCCCAAAACCATCTGGGTATGGATCCTCAGGTGGACAACAACTGAAGGTGGCAATTCATGTCCGCCAACCGCTGAAAGTGGTGCCTTATTGACATTCGCAGCCAAATGGATTCTAACCGCATCTAGCCGCACACCGAGGGAAGATCGGGGGTACCACTGCACAAGGGGTAAAAAAACCGGCTTACTTTGCCTTTGCAGCATAGTGGGTTGGTAGTGCAACCCGGTTTTTCTATTGGAAACAGCACTCGGACGGGTTTTAGTTGTCCTTTCTAAAACCACCCAAAAGGGGTACCAAATCCAAACAAGGCACCTCTTGGATACCGGTGTTCCGTTTTTGGAGTTGGCTTCATGGACATTCCAAAGCCACAAGAACCATCCTCTTGAGTAAAAGGTTCCTGGTCGACAGTCTATAAGGGTGTGCCCTTTCTTTGGAGTTGGCACCCGTTTTACAGTGGTGTTCGAAAGTAACACTAAAACTGGGCTGTCCTTAGATTATTTTGCTAAAAGTATTTAACTCTCAGTAAATCAAATGAGAACCCCAACCACTGAAGCCCAAAAAGCTAAGAAGGTAAGGAACCGGCTGGCTACTCAGATGCCCAGTGGCCAGGGCAAAAAAAGGCATCCCTTCTAGTTGGTTGAGTTTAAAGGGAAGCCGTCCCTTAAACAAAAGTTGAATAAAAAAGGAAAATGGAAGCAACCCACTGGGCAACTGAGGCTAACCACGAAGTGAGGTTTTGCCCTTGATCTCCTTGTCCCCCGGCTGCAAGCAGTGAATGAGCTGCTCCGCCGAGTCTCGCGTGGCCTAAACGCGACGAACGACGCGGGACTCGAATGGACATAGAACGCCCTCTTGGATCGACCTCCCGCTACAAAAACAAATGGCGTGGATTGGGATTTTGTGGCTTTCTTCAATTTGTTTTTGTCGGTTCCTGGGAAAAATGGGAAGATACCTTTTGAAACCAACAAGGGTAGATAAAACACATCCGTTTCAGCAAATGGCAGGTTTGGTGAGTTCAGAAAGGTTTAAGGTTTAAGGGAGCGTTCCCATTCACCCCCAAATCTGGCGCTTAGTTGGCGATTTGGATTGGTGATTTGGAGGTTGGGAGGAAGCTTAGCGCCAGCTTTCCATTTTCCCTCAACGACAACCCTTCAGCTCCCCAAACCACCAATCACCCATTGGGGGTTACCTGATTGGATGGTACTGGAAACAGAAAGCCCTCCCTCTTCCCTAGGGTTCAACCCCCACAAGAATGGCAAGGACCCAATTTAGATGATGAAATCGGTTGAACCATGCGATATGAACAACTCGGTTCTTTTGATAGATTGCATTGAATCCCAGAGGTCCAACCAACTGAACCTTTGCAGGGTTGAACCAAGAATGGTCACCTGATTGCATCCATGGCTGAACCTGTGGCACCCATGGGCTGAACTGGCTCGTGCTGGTTATAGCGAAGGCTTCCAACCGAGCTAACCGATCAAAAGGACACCTACATGATACCCTCGCCAAACAAAAAAAGACTGAACCCCCCCCCCAGAAAAAAAAGGAAAAAGACTGAACCCCCCCCCAAAAAAAAAGAAAGAAAGACTGAACCCCCCCCCCCCTCAAAAAAAAAAAAAAACTGACCCCCCCCCCAAAAAAAAAACACAAAAATTCCCCCAACTCCCAACCGAGCTGCGATGCCGTCCAGCGCCAGCTTGGGCAACATGCGCTGGTTCCGGTCCCGCCACCTGAGCAGCGCCACCGCGTCCGGGAAGACCTGCCGCGGCTCGGGAAGACCTCCTCCTACTTGGAGCTTCTCAGGCATAGAAACCATTGTGTGTTGGCATTTACATGGGGAATCGAATCATTCCCGGGTTTCTTAGGTGGTGTAGGATTTCGTCCATCCACAGTAGGTGTCCTTTTAGAGGAAATAGGTCACCTATGTTCTCAGGTTTGGCTCTGATCACAGGACAAAAATGAGGTTTTGTGACAAATCTATAGGTTTTGGCCTACCCGCCAAGCGAAAAAAACTACAGGGTTGTGCCCACCTGCCAAGTTTTGGGGGAGGTGTTAAGGTAATCTGCGTGGTCTTTAGAATAAGTTGGTGCCCGACTTTTTGTCAGTAGTCTATTTTAGCAGGAGAACCCTCCCCCAAAAAAGTTGGTCAAAGGGCACGATCCTGGGGACCTAGTTTACTTGGGGTTGACAGGGATGGCCATCCATGGCCATCCACCTGGTTGTAAGGATGCTGAACATGGTCCTTTTAGGGGAAATAGATGCGTTTCCCTGGTAGATGAGAAGAAACCACCAAGTAAACCAAAAACCTATCTATTTTTCGACCAAGACAACCAGAAAGGACACCTATGTTCTCAGGTTTGGCTCTGATCACAGGACAAAAATGAGGTTTTTGTGACAAATCTATAGGTTTTGGCCTACCCGCCAAGCGAAAAAAACTACAGGGTTGTGCCCACCTGCCAAGTTTTGGGGGAGGTGTTAAGGTAATCTGCGTGGTCTTTAGAATAAGTTGGTGCCCGACTTTTTGTCAGTAGTCTATTTTAGCAGGAGAACCCTCCCCCAGAAAAGTTGGTCAAAGGGCACGATCCTGGGGACCTAGTTTACTTGGGGTTGACAGGGATGGCCATCCATGGCCATCCACCTGGTTGTAAGGATGCTGAACATGGTCCTTTTAGGGGAAATAGATGCGTTTCCCTGGTAGATGAGAAGAAACCACCAAGTAAACCAAAAACCTATCTATTTTTCGACCAAGACAACCAGAAAGGACACCTATGTTCTCAGGTTTGGCTCTGATCACAGGAAAAAAATGAGGTTTTTGTGACAAATCTATAGGTTTTGGCCTACCTGCCAAGCGAAAAAAACTACAGGTTTTTGCCTACCTGCCAAGTTTTAGGGTAGGTGTTCAGGTAATCTGCTTTAGCGGTGTCCAGGGTTGGGTTCCATTTTTGCACTAAACCTAGAATTGGATGCGTTTGAAGGAGGAGGATGTTTATCCTCCTGAAAATTGGATGGAAGGCTTTCTGCTTGGGTAGTTTTAAGGTATTTGTGTGGATGGTTCTGTTCGGTTCTGTTCACGGGGAAAAAACTGGTGTTTGCCACCTGGCAAGCTTTTGGGGTAGGATTCATGCTACTTAGGTGTTGAGGTAATCTGCTTGGGTGGTTAGTTGGATGGAAGGTAATCTGCTTGGGTGGTTTCAATGTGATCTGTGTGGATGGTTTTCAAGGCAATCTGCGTGGATGGTTTCGAAGAATTGCATGGTTTGGCAAGCAATCTGCTTGGATGGTTGTAAGGTATTGGATGGTTTTAAGGCAATCTGCTTGGATAATCTTAAGGTAATCTGCTTGGATGGCTTTAAGGTCTGTCTGGCTGGATGTTAAGGGAATCTGCGTGGATGGATTCGAGGAAACTCGTTGGAATGGATGTGTATCAGGGTTGTGGGAAATGACCACTTCTGTGATACGACAAAAAGGGCTTCCCAAAGACTAACACCCCATATAAAGAGGGAGATTTGCTTGTATTACAGAAGTGGGAATAAACCCCTTGATTCCACAACCCTGATGTGTATCCTACCCGAATACTCTTTTAATATATCCAGCAGGGGTGGATCCACAGATTCGCCATATCCCCACACCGTTCTCAGGAACCGGATGGCTGGGAACCACCAGCAAAACCAAAAACCTAAAAACAAAAACAAACTCAAACACCTGAGTTGAACCGGATGGCTGGGACCCACCAAAAAAAAATCCCCCCACCCCCCACCGCCCCTCCCTCACCACTCACTCGGCCACACTCACAAATTCCGCCTCCTCCGCGCCCATGGTGAGCAGCCACTCGCTGATGCGCTCGTACTGGGTCTGCACGTTCTTCGGCACCTGCGCCTGGCTGGAGGCGTCCTGCGGCGGAGCGGGCCCGCGGGCGGGGTGGTTTTTAAAGAGTTGCCTCCTGTTTTTTGGGGGAGGCTTGGAAAGGGAAACCAAAGAAACAAATCTAAGCCGGTTTGGGAGGGGGAGGGGGGGTACCCTAAATGAGACATGTTTTTGGAGTTGGCACCTTGGATGTGTTTTGTGTAACAAGGTGGCCCTTCTTTGGTTTTCCAAGAAAAAAAGCAAAACCAAAGAGCCAGTTGAGTGTCAAAGTAGGGAGTTGCCCTCCCAGCATGTGTTTTCCTCCTGTTCGTTTCCGTTTGAATTTCGCCAAACCACCACAAAATGGAAGTTTGGAGGCTTGGGTTCGGACGTAAAAAAAGCCACTCCACTCTATCTCGGGGCAAATCCCCCCCCCCCCGTTGCCGCGGTCCATTTCCCTCGAGCCCCCAGACTTGGAGAAACAGATGTTTGGACAGATTCGACTTTTTGGGAGTTGGCACCCCTCCTTTAGCGGTCGTAAGGGGAAACGAAGCCATGTTAGTGAATCCAACCTCAAAAAATACACCCGTATCACACTCTAATTCCCAGACCAGAATTCAGAGAAAGGTCTAGACGACCTTCATCATGGGCGACTTGCTCCGTTTTTATCCGCATCAGCGAGCTCGTGAAAAAATATGGGTTCCCGAAATGTCGCCTTCAAGCATCACCCCACCAAAGTAAAGATCGTTTTAAAACACCAACCAAAAGGTGATGCTTCAAACCACTTCAGGGGAATTGTGGGAACTTTACATGTTTGTTTCCCGGCGATTTTGCAGCTGCGCTAACCCGCGTTTGTGGCATGCTCCCAGAGGATTTTGGTGCGGTTTCAAGCAAGTTTACCCCCAAGAAACATACAAAAGGGTGTGCGCCACTGGGTTGGGTCAACTTCCTGGTTTCCCTAAGACCGTTGCTTCAACCTTTTGTACAACAGGTTGTGGACTTCCATGGGAACAAAAAGGACACACCTATTCTTTGCTGCTTGCTTTGAAGGGTGTTGCCCCCCCACCAAACCAAAAAAGTCGAAAGGGCAGAAAAACAAACTCTCGCAACACACCCACTTTACTTTGGCCTTAAAGGGGTGCCCCCAAACCAAAAAAGCACAACATATATAGATTGCTACTACATATAGATATATGGTAATATATATATATATAGGTATATGCATTTGGTTACTTCCTCGCCAAAAAAAAAAAAATAAAATAAAAAAAGACATGGCCCGGTCGCCAGTCTTCAAGTGGCCGGTTTCTCGGTTTCTCTTTTTCGGTCCTGGGCTGTCATCAGATCCCCCGCTGAAAGTTTAACTTTTAGGGGTTCAATGGAAATCCCCACTAAACACTAAAAAGCGAAAAGGCAAAAGAACCGGATGGCTGGGAGCTGAGCCGACTAGAACTTATTGTGTGGTTACTCTGCGGGTCAAACCGCCACTAAAACAAAGGGGGCAATATAACCATCAGCATTTACCCAAGGAGCTTCATCGTCCAAAATTGGGACCATTCTTTTGATGGGAGCCACTCAAAAAAGCTGGGAGCTAAAGGAAAGGCTAAGGAACCCCCAAGGAAACCCCCACTTTCAGTGCATCCGGATCCAGCAAGGCTAAGGAACCGGATGGCTGGAACAACAGACCCATAGAAACCAGGTACTATCTGCTTGTAATGTTTCTGGCAATTCAACCTTGAAATTAGATGATGTGCCACTAATTCTATGTGCGCTGTCAATATAAACCTTGTTCTATCCAAGCTTTATTAATGAATTGAGAAATTGTCTTTATAAAATGATTATTATTTTCTTTTTGAACGGCCGCTAGGAGGAGCTCCTGTGCCAAGTGTATGAAAAATACTCATGTCGATCCTCTACTAAACTTGGCTGGAATTAGGACCCCAGCAAAACAACATCTTTTTTGCCTGGTTAGTGGAAAACAAAGGGAACCCCAAAAAAGCAAAAAAGCAAAAAGGGGAGCTAATTCTGGTGAAGTAAAGAAGCTGGGAGCGTTCCACCGTCTCCTGCCAGGCGCTCTTGGAGCCGTACTCGCCCTTCACCAAGTTCTTGGGCGCCCCCGGCAGCGGCAGCAGACACAGCGGCTTCAGCTTCAGCAGCCGGCAGAGCTGCAGCCTCGAAGAGTGCGAAGCGGAATGATGTCCGCGTTTAGCAGCGGCTTTGTTGTAAACAATATATATATATATGTGTGTGTGCATGTACAAAGCCGAAATATACATAATGTACACATATATATATATATGTAAGTATATTGGTGGGTCCTACATAATGTGTATATATATAGATACTTGGTTGCTTCCTGCTCCCCTGCTAAAAGTTTAACTTTTAGTGGTTTAATGAAAAGTCCTAACATCCAAGCAAAATGCACCAAAGTATATGTATGTATGTGAATGTCTTTCCTGTTTGGGGGGGCACTTCAAAGCCAACGTGTGTGGGTTGCTCGAATGTCCGCTCGACGCGAACAGCGGCCAGGGCTCTTCCCGCTTCCGTGAGGCGCGGCGGCTTTCTTGGCGGGCGCCGGGAATTCTTTTTTGGGGGGGGGTTCCCCGCAGCTCCTGGCGCCCCTCCGAGCCTACGGTGAACCACCCAAAAAAGCTGGGCGTGGTCTTAGCCCTTAAAACTCCAAGCCACCTGGGGAAGTTCTCATCTCTTACAGACATATAGCCCATGTTACCCCCAAAAAGTTGAGAAAAAGTGGTGTTTTTGAGGCAAGCAGTTTGAGGGTGCTGTTAATTTCCCCGCGAAGAACGGGGGGATGTTCAGTTGCCCAGCCTTCAAACCACCAATCCAAACCCAGGGTAATTGCTGGAGGCCAGGGTACCGGTGCTGGGTTTTCCTTGTGTGGGTTCAGGGTCCAGGTTGCTGCAAACAAGGGCAAAGCAGATCCAACCAATCCAAACCAAGGCTTCCCGCCGATTGAAACCAAGCTGAAAAGGACACCCCGCCAAGGATGGAAGGGCATCCACCCAAGTAGGGGGGATTTACTACTTGGGTGTTCAACCAACGGTAAGTAGTTGTTTTCACCATTGTCTTAAGGAGACTAACCCCGGTTATCAGCCACTTGCCATGCTTATGACCTACGTACCTGACGTTGCTTGAACGCCCAAGTTCGCATGTCTCGCGGCTCGTGTCGGGTGCGGACGGTTTGAACCAACAAGTTAACCATGCTTGTGAAAACCGAGTTGCAGTGAGATCATCATCGCCTTTTAAGTGGGAAAGAAAATCTGGAAAGCCGCAGGGGGGTTAAAAAAAGGTGCAAAGGTAAGGCTGGCAAAGTTTTGGAGCAACACTGTGGCCAGGCTCCAAAGGAGCCGCCCCCAACTCGAGGCATCGACAAACCTCCATGCAGTGAAATCGATTCCTTTTAAAACCAACAGGGGAAAATAAAACAAACATATTCATTTCAGCCAATGAATTCAGCACCTCGTGGCTCCGAAAAAAATCGCTTGGCTCGCTCGGCTCGACTCGCTCGACTCGACTCGATGACTCGATGACTCGATCTCGAGGCGCAGGGAGGACCCTGCGGCGGACAAGTGCGCGGCGTTGAGCAGCACGGAGTCTCCGGGCTTCAGCTTGGCGCCGAAGATCTCCAGCAGAAGATACGCGCAGACCTCCCGGACGTGACTCGCGCGGAAGGGGGGGAAAAACGCCCGGGGGTTTTTGGTGTGAAGAACCCACCGCTAGAGGCTACGCTGTGGCCATATGGGTGTGGAGTCAAAACCAATGGGATCCCATTTTGGGGTAGGTGGACTTTCCAGACCCCGAGCTCAGCTCACGCAAGCCGTGTGAAGAACCCACCGTGGTGAGGAACAAAACATATGGCTGCGCCTCCTTTTTGTTGGTGGTACGGGGTTGCCCCAGCTGTGTAAAGAACCCACATCTAGAGGCTGCGCTGGAACCATATGGGTGTGGGTCAAAACCGTTTTGGTACCATGTTGGGGTAGGTGCACCACCCACTTTAGTCTATTCTAGTGGGGATTGGGATGTGCGGGCTGTTGACCCGTGGCCATATGGGTGTTGTCCTTTTTGCAGACCCCGAGGCTCGGCTGAGCTGAACCCACGCAAGCCGTGTGAGTTTCACCTACGTTGGTGCGGAAAAAAAAACAGCTGTGCGTCCTCCTGCTTGGTGGTATCCCTTTTTGTTTGTGCTAAAAGGCAGCCAAAAGGAAATTCTTGGTGGTATCCCTTTTTGGGTGCGTTAAAGGGCAACCAAGAGGAAAAAAGGGGGTTCCCCTGAACAAGGACAAAGCCCCCCTAGAGTTGGTGGCTGGCGCTAAGTTTTCGTGTCGCCATGTGTTGGAACCTACCTCCGCGCTTGGGAAGCTGGGGAAACCAAGGGGGGCCGTTGAATGCACAGGGGTCCAAACCCCTGTGGCACACACACGCACACACCCATATGGCTGTGGCTCACAAAACCGGTACCAAAATGGAACCCTGGTAAGTGGAACCATGGACCAAAATCCGTGTAACCCCCCCTGTTTAATTTTGAGCCACAGCCATATTCACCCCCAAAGGACCCTAGCTTTCAGTTGCCAACAAACAAGTTGATGTCTAACACCACCAAAGGGGGAAATACAGGTATGCCTCGGGGGTGACCTCAACAAAAGAACACAAGTAGGGAGCCATGGCAAAATGGTCCGACGAAATGGCCTTCCCGCGGCGTGGGAAGTAAAGGCGATGACAAAACTGAGGAAATGGGTGGAGGGGAGGGGGAGGGGGCGCACACACCATGCAAGTAGATGGCGCAACTTGTTCGTTGTAAAGGGGCCGCCTAGACCCAGCATGGGGCTGTCTGTTTTTGTTGGGGACCGCTCTTTTGGCTGGTTTTAGAGGGAAACCAGCATGAACACCACCATGGGCTGCCCTCAGATCCCCCGCTTAAAGTTCAACTTTTAGTGGGTTACATGGAAACCACCACTAAACACTAAAAAGGATCTAAAAAGCTAAGGAACCGGATGGCTGGGAGCCACCAAGTCCTGTCTTGTTGGGTCATAAAAAACGATACGCCCAAATGGGTTACGCCCAACTTTAAGGCCTGGTCCCATGGATTGCTATGGCCATTTGGGAATGCGTCAAAGGCAGTCGGGACCCAAAAGGATACCTTGGTCACAAAAACACGAGCCAACTGCCATTTGTGTCTTGTATCAAGTAGGAATCGAATCTATCCAAGCTAAAAGAGCGGCAAAGAGCAGTGAAGTAGATTTTGCCCCCCCCCCCCCAATGAACAGAATCAAACAACTCCAAAACTGAAAGCAAAGAACTCATGATTCTGCCAGTATCAAAGCCATGTTTCATGTGGTAGGCTAACGGGAAACCACCGAAACCAGCTTCTGTCTTTGACAACCCCCAGAAAAGGGTCAAAATGGCTTTGGATCAAAATGGCTTTGGATCAAAATGGCTTTGGGTCAAAATTAGGTACCCAAGATGGGATGGTAAATGGAAACAAGGACCAACACCTGCGGTCCATATCATTTTGACCCATACGCGATTGGGCCTGGACCCCCCAAATTTGTGGTTTTCCCTTCAGTTTCCCTCTAAAACCAACCAAAAGAGGTTAAACAAAACAAAAAACAAAAAAATCAGAGAGACACGCCCAAATATACTGACCCAGAATCCCCCCCCCTTTCCCCCCAGCCATTGGGTTTCCCTTCAAAAAACCCACCAAAAGGGGGGGGTTCCCCCCAAAAAAGAGGACACACCCAGAACCGGGTGACAGGTACGGCCACCCGTTTGTCGGGGCGCAATCGTGGGCGCAAGGCAGATCTGGTCCGGGTTCAGCCTCGCAGGCTTGGGGAGGGGGTGGGGGGGGGAGGCGCGTGGGGTGGGTGGGCTGGGTGGGGTGGGTGGGGTCGGTGGGGTGGGTGGGTTTCCTTTTGGATGATTTCACGTTTCTTTTTCCTTTTCGCCTTTTCCTCTTGGTTTCCTTTTCTGTCCTTTGGCTTTCACAGAATATCCTTTCCGCAGCACCCATTCATGCGTCTGGATAAATTGCAATGAGCCCGAACAATCAGATCTGGACCGAGGATTCTTAGGTGCAATCGCTTCTTGGAGGTGAGATCACCGAGGTTGCATTCAGGTTCTGGAAGAAACTTGCTGCTGCGATGGGCAGGGAATGACCGTTCCGTTCCGGGTGTTGGGATTAACCGCTCTGGGATTCCCTTGGAGGAAACCATAGCGGATGGCTTGCAGGGGTCATTCTCTCATTCCCTGCTGAGAACCAGCAAGGAAACATGGGGACAACTGGCCAATATGGGAAACACATCGTTCGTTGCACCCTGATTTCCTCATCAGCAAGGGGGGGAAACTATCAACGGCGTCAAAAAACAGGGGTTGGCCTACCAACATCAAGAAAGGGTTTAATTGTTCGAAAAGCCGCAGGTTTTGTTAGTTGGCCACTAAAGCGAGCTTCCCAAAAAGTGAAGCCAAACAAGTTCAGAAACTCGGGTGGAGGCAAGAAACTTGGACACGGGTTGGGCCAACCATCAAGCAAGCTTGTTTCAACATCCTCCTAATACCATGGGCTTCAAACGTTCCATGTTTTAAACATACTAAGATACATATGGCCGAAACATGCTAGCATACATATGGCTGAAACATACTAGCATACATATGGTTAAACATACACGGGTTTTACTTACCCTTGGTTTAACCCACGAAATTTTGCAGATCCTCCTCTTGGTTTTTCCGGGCGCGTCAGCTCTTTCAAAGCCATCGCGGAGAAGGAGTCTGAGACGGGGGGGGCGTTTGGGCCTTTGGTTTTTTGGATTTCTTTACCTGAGGTTCGTCACTTTGGAGGGAACACCCCCCCTATTAGTAGGATGGGTTTATGAATCCGGGGTCAACATTACGCACAAGTGCTTTTCATGCTCTTTTGAGTCACAATCAAAACCCGGTACACAAATGGTCGATCCCAACCATGCTTCAAGAATTGAGATGGCGGAATTCCGCAGCGATTTATGGCTGGGATCGTCCCTAACGTTCTACCCGGGTTTTGAGCACGTGGTCTGCTTCCCTTCCGCGGATTAGAGCCCGGTTGGAGGCATGGCGTGGGGGTGGCTACCAGGGCCTGAGCCACATGTCGGTTGGGTTTGTGCCAAAACGGGGGAATTTACAAAATGGTGGTGTCCCGGTTAAGCGAGTCGTACAACGGGCTACTTGGGTGATCAACTTAGTAAGTCGGTTGCAACCATGGTTATTGGCGGGGTAGCTGGGGGTCGCCTTAGAACATCGGCCGCAACCTCCTAATAAGCTTCTGGAACCTCAAGCTACCCGGTAAAAACAAAAACCACGTGAACATGCCCCATAAATGTTGGGGCAATCACCAGTTTCTAGGGGTATGAGGGTCCAGGTACCTTACACCTATGCTTACAACAACAGCTTCAACGATGATGACAAAAAGAACCCCCGGCTGAAGCGCAAGCCAGCGCGAAAATCCCCACTTTGTCAGACGTCTTTTTTGGGGCGCCCCCTTGTTGGTTGGTTGGTTGGTTGGTTGTTTCAAGGATCTCCAAGAGGAAAACTGTTGCAAGCGCCATTTTGGGTTCTTGCCCCCCCCTAAAACAGACCCCGCATCCACAGTATGAAGGTTCACCTTTCAGGCGCGCCGAACCGCTATTTTGGGGCTTTTTCCCCCTAAAAACCACCATCCAGGAGCCGATTTAATTTATTGAATCCAAACAAATATGGCTTATTAGCACTCTTTACAAGAGATAAAATGAATTTTACAAAAACCCATCCAATATTCGGTTGGTTTAAGTGGCAATAACAAGCCAACCTTATTTCATGTCCTCCGATTTATTTCTCGGCCGAGAAGCTGCTCCAGCACATCCGGCGGCACCCGGATCAGGTCCTCCTCGCTGCAGTGCAGCAGCGTGCGCGCCGAGCCGATGGGCTTCCTCGCCAGGCGGGGGGGCCCAGGGGTCCAAGCTTTTGGTGGAAGGAGCTTTGGTGGTGTGGAAGCCAAAAGGAACCTTGGTGGTGTCAAAACAAAACCTGTATATATATATATATGTATATATATATACTTATATATATATATATGTATATATATATATATATATATACATGTACATGTGTATATATATACATATTTGTATGTATATATATACTTATATATATATATATATATGTATATCTATATAGAGAAAGAGGGAGAGATGGATATAGTATCGTTCAGAGTTGCTTGGGGCTGCAACACATGGTTTCGGGTGGAGGGGGGGTATGGTTTGGTGTTTTCCGAAGGCAAACATGAGAAAACTGTTCTGCTGGGTAACTACTTTACCCAACGCGGAGATGGCAAATTTTGAGCTCGTCCCCTGGTTTGAGTGGCAGGCGATTTAGAGTTCGTCCCCTCATGTCCCAAATGCCAAATGGACCAGCAACAAAACGTTTTGGACATGTTGGACCAAACCTCATACCCCAATGGCAACCTTTTTTTTGGGGTTCCCAAAAAATCCCACCTCGAAGCGCGAACCGGCAAAACTACAAACACACACACACACACACACACACAGTACCTATATCCTCGCCGTTTCCGCCCCACCCCTGTTCCTTGCTGTTTCGATAGGCGTTCCTGAGAAATGGAATGACCCCAAGGAGAAAAAATAAGCAGCCAGCCCTTATGGTTTGTTTGGAATGACCCCAAGGGGAAAGACAAACAAAAACAGCCAGCCCTTATGGTTTCCCTTTTTTCGGGAATCCAACCAAAACTGGTTCCCGGACTCGGGAGGTCATTCAATCGCTCACGGCAGAGGCGCTGCGAGGAGAACTTGGTGGGCTTCGGGAGGATCAGCACGGTGTCCTCCTGCGAGGGTAGAACAACTTGGGCCTTTGGCCTGGGTTGGACCCACCTACGAGGGTCCCCTGAAGTGGGGTGAACCTTGCAGGTTATTTCCCGGGTGGAAAACCAGTTGCCGACTTGGCCGAGCATCCACGTAGCTTCCTTCTGGTTGATTCCCCTCGTTCCTTCCAAGAACCGGCCGTTCTGCCTGGGCGTCCGGAGGTTGGCTTGGAAAAAGGACCGCTGGAAAGAATGGACAAAAAGTTTGAAGTTACTGGAATGATAAAGTTTTAAACTTATCATAACCTTTATAATTACCAAACTGTTTGGGAAGGCACCCCTAGATCCCTGGACATGGGTCTGTCGATGTGTGTTTCCCCAACATCGCACGACGGGGTTCCTCTTGCCGTCCGTTGAAACCCACCAAAACAGGGTAATTACCAAGCCTGAAAAAGGACACCCCCACGTGTGGTGAGTAACAATCAGTTGCATACCCAGCTGGGTACAAGTTCGCAGCTTGAAGAGTTTCTGACCTGGCGGGAGGCCCATGTGAAGGGATCCGGATGCATTATACACCTGAATATTGCCTTGTACATGGCGGTGTCCCTTTGTTTTGGCGGAAAAAGCCGTGTTTCAAATGGGCAACATGTATCTTTTAGGGAGCCCTGATGGGCTGACTGACTTTTACTCACTAGTCCGGAGTGCAACCTTGTTGGGATGTTGTAGCGGAAGGCAATCATGAGAGAGAGATCTGCACGCTTGGGTAGAAATATTGCCATCCTACCCAGAGACTAATTGAGCAGCGCCCTATTGGCGTTTGACTTTTAGTTCTCATATGGGCCTTACTAGAATCTTTATGAAACCGGGTAGGACATAGGCGCTGCTCAACTGAAGCCACGCCAATTAATGGCTTTCCCTTTTCGGGGTTGGTAAGACCAAACCCACTCTAGGTTTTACCTACAGTGACAAGCGCCTGGAAGCACAAGGTGTTCAGGCTACTCGGCAAGTAGGCTATAACCATGCTAATCTCAGCCTACGAACCACTTGGCTGTGGCTCAAAAATCCGGTACCAAAATGGGTTGCCCTGGTAAGTGGAAACATGGACCAACACCTGCGTAACACCTCCTGTTTAATTTTGAGCCACACCCACTTATAACCACAGTTGTAACCTACTAAGTTGGTTGACCGCGCAACTATACTTGCTCAGGGAATCGTTGAACCAAACTGAAGCATTCCTCGCGCGCTTCAGCGATCCTTTTTTTCGGGGATGTTGTTGCTGCGGGTCAAAACACCAAGCATTCGTCGCATCGAACCTTCCGGAATTCTAACTAGTTTACCACTATCAAAGTGACTCCCCAAATGGTAGGTCAAAGGGAAACACCCTCCCCCCCCCCCAGTTTCTGACTTTGACAACCCCAAAAAATACTCAAAGTCATGACCCCGGGCTGGACGTTTCTGACTTGGATAACCAAAGACTGTCAACATCATGTCCCCGGATTGGACCCCCTTGCCGGAAAATCCCCGGCCCAAGAGTACGTCCAGGCTTTGAAACCCAAGCTTCAGCTTCCCTGGTGAGTTTTCGTGGTGGCCCCAAGGCCCAACTCTTTGCTTCTTCCCAAAAGGTTTGCCTCCCATGAACTCAGGGAGCGGTTGTGGTGTTTCATGAGTTCATGAGGGCTAGGGGTGTTTCTCTGGGATCAGAGTGAGGTTTTAAGTTCTACTCAGCTTAACTCAGGGAGTGCGGTTTCCGCGTTGTTTCTCTGGACCATTTCTAGGTCCTCCAGTAGAGAGGTTAGAATAAGGATACCCTTTTTTCTGTAGTCTATTTTAGTAGGGGAACCCTCCCCAAAAAAAAGGTAAAAGGGCACTACTGGGGCACCTAGATTTTGGTGAACTTCCTCGGACCTGCGCCCAGCTTAAGGGAAAAAAAAAGGCCCTCGCCCGCAAAAACATCCGCGGTGACGTCCTCCTTGAACTCCGCGCACCGGGCGCCCAGCTGCTCCACCCTGATGCCCCCAAACCAAAAAACCGGCACCTCTTCATTTTTGTTTGTTCTGTTTTTTTTGGGGGGGGAGTGACTAAAATACACCTGTTTGCAGTGTGCGATTTATGTTGCTTAATTTGTTTGTCCCCTCCATGTGTTTTTCGGGGGGATGGGACGTTGGCGGGGAGGGGGGGGGGGAAGTGACTACAAAAGACACCTGTTTGATGTGTTCGATTTATTTCGTTTATTTAGTATTCTTTTTGAGGGGGGGGGGCTGACATGAGGAAAAAAAGAAAACGGCACCCTTGGGTTTCTGACGATCAAAGGCTTTGCCCTCCAAAAAAATAAACTCAGATGCCCAGCGGATTTCCGTGGGAACAAGAGGAATCCGAACCCTTACCCAACAAAAAGGAAAAAAGGGGCACCACTGGGCAGCGGAAATGCTTCCCAGGCATCGGTGACCGTTTCATTTAACTACGTTAGACTTGCGTGGTCAAGCTAAGTGGAAGGGGTCTAACCGCAGCTATCCCACTTACAAGCATGGTTATAACCTACGTGATAAGTTGAAACCAGACACAAATGAGTTGCCAAGGAATGGAACCTACTTGTAACCTACTGATGACCCACTTTTAACCAACACTTATAACCCTAATTACCTATAACCTACTTACCAAAACTTACAACCATACTGGGATTACATATAACCTACTTCTACCCCACTTATGACCTACTTGTAACCCACTTCTAACCCACTTTGAACCTACGTGTAGCCCCACTTATTCCCTGCTTACCAAGGAATGGAACCTACTTACAACCTGACCCACTTTTAATCTATACTTAAAACACTACTCATAACCTACTGACCAAGGAATGGACACACAACAACAACACAATTTTGGCACATACACAATTGAATACTTCATCACCGGGATTTCCCTTGACCAACTACCCTCCCACCAATTAACATTGAAAAAAGGGACCGGGTCCCGAACGTCGGGTTCCATGTTCATGAGTGTGAAGGTAACCAAGGGCTTGCCAATTAAAACCGAATGCACCATGGCGAAGGGTTACCTACTGTATGGTTTTGCCTGACAAGCCACTGGGATAGGTGTCCTTTTTGGTAGTGTTAACAGAGGGTAGCCTTTTTGCATGGTTTTCAAGGGACGCCTAAAAGAAACAAGGCTTTTTAGGGGTTCTGATTCTGATTCCCATCCTTTTTGTCCCGCCGCTCCCTTTTTTTCAGTGAGGGTAGAGGGCCTCTCTTCTTTAAAAAAAAAAAACGCAACTCTTTCGGATGCGCTTCCGGCGCCTGCCAACGCCGGTCATGCCCAGGCAGACACCACTCTTGTTCAGCTCCGCATAGACCATGCTGTCGTCCACCGGCACTGCCAGCATGCGAACCAGGAGTTCCTGGCCCCCCCAAAAAAAGCACGTCGGACGGCCCACGGTGAATGCTCCCTAGGTCCTCCAGTAGAGAGGCTAGAAGAAAGGGGGAACCCTCCCCCCAAAAAAGGGTAAAAGGGCACTACTGGGGGGTCCTAGTTCCTGTGTCATACGGGCCCCTGTATGATTCATTGCCTAATGTGCTTTTAGGGACACCAGGTTGGATTCCTTTCCGTGCCTTAAATACCCTCTTCGAGAGGGTAAGGGTGTTTGTCTGTTCCTTATGCCGTGAACACATGGACTCAATCAGAATGTCACTTGACACCCAGCAGCAAAGTACCAAATCAGCATGCCGCAAAGCATCGCCACTGTCAATAAGGGTGTGGCACTTTCTTTTTGACATGTTGTGTATACATATATATATATATATATATGAGGAGCGGACGAAACACTTTACTTGGCCCTAGTACTTTTTTGAACGTTATCGTTTTTGGGGGAGACCTTATCGTTTTACAGAGGTTTCGAACTTTGGCACATCCGGCTCGAAAATCGCAACTTTGTAGTACAAGTCTAGTACGCGAAGCGCACTTCCGCAGCTCCAGCTCGCAAATCGCAACTTTGTAGTACAAGTCTAGTAAGCGAAGTACACTTCCGCATCTCCAGCTCGAAAATCGCAACTTTGTAGTACAAGTCTAGTGCGCGAAGTACACCTCCGCATCTCCAGCTCGAAAATCGCAACTTTGTAGTACAAGTCTGGTACGCAAAGTACACTTCCGCAGCTCCAGCTCGAAAATCGAAACTTTGTAGTACAAGTCTAGTACACGAAGTACACTTCCGCATCTCCAGCTCGAAAGTCGCAACTTTGTAGTACAAGTCTAGTACGCGAAGTAAACTTCCGCAGCTCCAGCTCGCAAATCGCAACTTTGTAGTACAAGTCTAGTAAGCGAAGTACACTTCCGCATCTCCAGCTCGAAAATCGCAACTTTGTAGTACAAGTCTAGTGCGCGAAGTACACTTCCGCATCTCCAGATCGAAAAACGCAACTTTGTAGTACAAGTCTAGTACGCAAAGTACACTTCCGCAGCTCCAGCTCGAAAATCGCAACTTTGTAGTACAAGTCTAGTACACGAAGTACACTTCCGCATCTCCAGCTCGAAAGTCGCAACTTTGTAGTACAAGTCTAGTACGCGAAGTAAACTTCCGCAGCTCCAGCTCGAAAATCGCAACTTTGTAATACAAGTCTAGTAAGCGAAGTACACTTCCGCATCTCCAGCTCGAAAATCGAAACTTTGTAGTACAAGTCTAGTAAGCGAAGTACACTTCCGCATCTCCAGCTCGAAAATCGCAACTTTGTAGTACAAGTCTACTACGCGAAGTAAACTTCCGCAGCTCCAGCTCGACAATCGCAACTTTGTAGTACAAGTCTAGTAAGCAAAGTACACTTCCGCATCTCCAGCTCGAAAATCGCAACTTTGTAGTACAAGTGTAGTACGCGAAGTACACTTCCGCAGCTCCAGCTCGAAAATCGCAAGTTGGTAGTACAAGTCTAGTACGCGAAGTAAACTTCCGCAGCTCCAGCTCGAAAATCGCAACTTTGTAGTACAAGTCTAGTACACGACGTACACTTCCGCAGCTCCAGCTCGAAAATCGCAACTTTGTAGTACAAGTCAAGTAAGCGAAGTACACTTCCGCATCTCCAGCTCGAACATCGAAACTTTGTAGCACAAGTCTAGTGAGCGAAGCGCACTTCCACATCTCCAGCTCCAAAATCGAAACTTTGTAGTACAAGTCTAGTACGCAAAGTACACTTCCGCATCTCCAGCTCGAAAATCGAAACTTTGTAGTACAAGTCTAGTACGCGAAGCGCACTTCCACATCTCCAGCTCGAAACTCGCAACTTTGTAGTACAAGTCTAGTACGCAAAGTACACTTCCGCATCTCCAGATCGAAAAACGCAACTTTGTAGCACGTCTAGTACGCGAATTACACTTCCGCATCTCCAGCTCGAAAATCGCAACTTTGTAGTACAAGTCTAGTACGCGAAGTAAACTTCCGCAGCTCCAGCTCGAAAATCGCAACTTTGTAGCACAAGTCTAGTACGCAAAGCACACTTCCGCAGCTCCAGCTCGAAAATCGCAACTTTGTAGTACAAGTCTAGTACGCGAAGTACACTTCCGCAGCTCCAGCTCGAAAATCGCAACTTTGTAGTACAAGTCTAGTACGCGAAGTACACTTCCGCAGCTCCAGCTCGAGAATCGCAACTTTGTAGTGCAATCCTAGTACGCGAAGTACACTTCCGCATCTCGAAAATCGCAAGTTGGTAGTGCAAGTGCAGTACGCGAAGTACACTTCCGCATCTCGAAAATCGCAAGTTGGTAGTACAAGTCTAGTACGCGAAGTAAACTTCCGCAGCTCCAGCTCGAAAATCGCAAGTTGGTAGTGCAAGTCTAGTACGCGAAGTAAACTTCCGCAGCTCCAGCTCGAAAATCGCAACTTTGTAGTACAAGTCTAGTACGCGAAGCGCACTTCCACATCTCCAGATCGAAAATCGCAACTTTGTAGTACAAGTCTAGTACGCAAAGTACGCTTCCGCATCTCCAGCTCGAAAATCGAAACTTTGTAGTACAAGTCTAGTAAGCGAAGTACCTTCCGCATCTCCAGCTCGAAAATCGCAAGTTGGTAGTACAAGTCTGGTACGCGAAGTAAACTTCCGCAGCTCCAGCTCGAAAATCGCAACTTTGTAGTACAAGTCTAGCACACGAAGTACACTTCCGCAGCTCCAGCTCGAAAATCGCAACTTCTCAGTACAAGTGTCGTATTTACGAAGCACACCTTGGCAGCTCCAGCTCGAAAGTGGCGACTTGCCTTCTCGTTTTACGGTGGCCACGCAAGGGTCCCACCCTAGCTAAGTTGCAACTGCAGGGGTTCTTATAGAGCCGTGTGTTAGCTAAGGGTTATCGTTTTTGGGGGAGACCTTCTCGTTTTCCATGGTTTTGGCATGTGTTATGCAAAAACGTACCCCGCCTAGATAAAGTGGTCTTCATGTGTTTTGTCCGTGGCTCATATATATATATATATATATCTATGTATATATGTTACAATGTATATCATTGCAAATTGCATCCCTTTGCGGTTTCCTCTACAAATGTGATCCAAATGGGATCTAATCCCCACGCTCTCTCTCGCCCTGGATTGCTCCCAACACAGGTCGCAAGTCTGGCCCCGCTGATTCCATCAAAGCCACCCCCCAAAGTGGCAGCCTAAAGAGAAACAGCCAGCCAGTTCCCCAAGGAGCCGTCAAAATGCCTTCGCCCAAGTGAGCGTCTTATTTAGGTGTGTCCCTTTTTGAGGGTAACCTTTTTTGGGGTTCCAAACCAAAATCAAAAGGACACCGGACCTTTGAGGGGTGCCCTTAGTTTACGACAAGCCCATTTGGGGAAACAGGGGTGGATCCTAACGGTCAGCTACGGCGCATCGTGATCGATGGTCTTCTTCACGGATTTCGGCTTGGACCTCACGGTGACCCGCACACAAAATGAGGCAGCCCCACTTGGAACTTACAAGGGCTGGCTGATGCTTCTCTATTTGCTCAAGGGAAACCAAGGGTTTTGCCTCAAAAGACTAAAGAGAACCCCTACTGTGGATGGACAAAATCCATCCTCCAGTATGGATCTACTTTCTCCACGCTAGGAGGCGAATAGAGCCCGGCTGCTCAAAAACACGGCCGGACCAAGGGATTTGTATTCAAAAAGACAGAACCCCCCCCCTCTTTGTGGATGTGAATCCCACCCCATGTTTTTGCGTGCCGCATTTGCAGGGGAGCTACACCTGAGAATCACCCTGTTCAGCGGCACCCTTTCGCCTTGTCTGGTCAAAGAATCCCCACAAAAGCGGTCAACCCAAAACGAGCTCCCGTCTTTTACCAAAAATCACTAAACAACTGACGAAACTGACTGCTTTGCGCCAATCAAGTTGGAACGGGACCAGTTCCCCTTTTATTCCCCCTTACCATGGGTTTGAAGCGGGTTGTCTGAGTTTTGGCTTGTGGACGTCGTCGGTTTCTCAACTGGACTCAAATGGTCTCGCACCACAGTCCTTTTGGCTTCCCTTTTGAACCAACCCAAAGCCCGACATCGTCGGTTTCGCAACTGGGCGTGTTTCAAATTGCCTCGCACTTGGCTTTCCTTTGAACCAACCCAAAGAAGGTACCCCAAAAAACAGGTGGTATCGGGACCCAACAGCCCCGGACCCCGAATCTTCTTTTGAACCCTCATGAAAGCAGCCCCAAACCACCCCTTGACTCTTCAAAGCACCACTCTGGTGCTACTGAGGCCTTATTCGCAAAACGGTGCCTCCTTTTTGCCGTATAAGGGTTAGTGCCAAAATGGGAGGATTGCCCAGCTCCACTGGGCAGCTCCCCTCAGCAGCTGATGGGAGTAGGATTGATGCCACTCCCACAGCGAGGGAGGAATCCTCCCACCTCACCGGATGCCCTCCCGGCATCATGGGTGAGGAAGGAAAGTAGCGAAGATCAGTGTGATCAATTCGCTTTCGACTGAGGGGAAGACCCGGTTCTCAGTCGGAAATTGCGGGTCCGGATGAGTAAGTTCATCCGCCCACGTGTTAAAGTCGCGCTTCACATGCGACGGCCCCAACATGACCTGCTGGTCATGCAGCGTTAGCACAATTTCCATGAGGATGGCCGCATTGGGCATCCTGCGAGTGGAATCGTTAAGAAGGGAGAAAACATTTCCCTGGTTATCACTAGCAACCAGGATCCTAGTGTGAGAAACCGAGCCGGCTGCACAAAGCAGAACGGCCCTCACCAAAAGGAGGAGGCCGAAGAGCTCCAAGGCCGCTATCGCCCGCTGCGGGTCCCCAGTAGTGAAGGCCCACGGCTCGCCCTCCGGTGTGATTCTGTGCTGGAACCACTTCACACGGGACTTGTCGGGGTTGGGCACGTCCGAGCACCAACCACCAACCCATGCATGGTCTGCCTGTCTGCCAGCTCCCGCATCAGATGCCCCCGTCCATGGGAGTGTGGGAGCAAACGGAGATGCCAGTGGGAACCTCTGTGTCGACCCCAGAGAAACGTCCAGGCCGCCGGAGGTATCCATCATCCCCCTGCCCCGATCAGGCCCCTCGGACCTGGGCAGGCTGGTGCTGTGGGGGTCCCTCTCAGGGCCCTCGGCACCTGGGGACTGCCCCTGCACCGGCTGGTGAACATCCCGAGGTCTCTCCTCAGTGCTCGAGAGCGTGGCTCGAAGTAGATGGGGATGGTCCGTCGCTGTCCTGAGCCAGTGGATGGCGTGGAGGCAGTCTCCAACCGTGGTCTTCTCCCCCGTATGAGCCTGGATGTGTGCGTTTGCTCCCCCTTTCGAGCCATCGTAGATCGTCCTGATCTTGTCTGACTCATCAATCCCCGCAAGGGGGCCCGGGCAAAGTTCCTCCGGTTTGCAGCGGCACCTCTCTGCCGCCTCCGACCGGGTGAAGGGCCCGTCCACCATGTCCAAGGCTCGTTCCTCGTAAAAGGTTGCCTCGATTTCACTGGCAAAGAGTTCAGCCGTTGGGTAGTTATCATGGGCCACCGGCGGGGGGGGGTCTTCCCCCAGCCAGGCTTCTCCCTTAAGCTCCTCCTTAGTCGGCCAAACTCCGGGGGAGGTCAAGGTAGGGTCCGAGACTCCCAAGGGGACCCCCTCTTTCAGTGTCAGGGGGAACTCCCAATCAGGGTCACCTGAAAGGGATGCTAACGTCATAATCTTTCATTGGTGCTCTTTGTTGTATTAAATAACGCAACACTGATACCAAAGTATAATAATTAAAATGCATTGTTGTCATTCCTCCTCTTTCATTAATACTATTACCATTATGTTTAACGAGTTCTTCTTTCATTATGTTTTCGTAAATCTCTTTTATCCATTGATGATTTTGTTCTCCATACTCAGCGAACATATCTGGATATATATCTTTCATTGTTTTATCGTTTTTAATTATTTCAATGACTTGTTTATACGATGGATAGGGATTATCCTTAATGAAACTCAATATTATCTTTCTATCCTGTTCCAGCTCTTTTTCTGTCACTCCTATCATTGGCATTTTTCTCTTATTATATTAAGTCTGTATTCCTTTAAGTCATTTTACATTATAATTATAACATATAAGGGTATAAATGTTATAATCATTCCCCGATTTTATCAAAATCATTCCCCGATTTTATCAAAATCATTCCCCGATTTTATCAAAATCATTCCCCGATTTTATCAAAATAGGTGGTGGTTTGGTTCATTGCAATTGCATGTGCTCAAGTTGCAAGCCCAACCCCAAACTCAAAATCCTTAATCCGTCAAACTCACTAAGATTTCACAAATTAATTCGCTAGGTATTTTGTATAGGTCTTCTTGCTAAATAATTCTAATAAATTCATTTATTAGAATTATTTAGATATTATTTATTCAAATAATACATATACTCCATCATCATTTTTTGAAATTTTGTAAAATTCTAAAGTGGTGCTTTTAGGTTGTTTGATTTTTCCTGTATTCAACATATCACAGTATTTCTTTTGCTTTGTCGGGTAGTCGCCCGATGGTCTTCCTATAGATTTTGCTTGAAATATCTTTTCGATTTTTTCTTTATCTTCATTGCGTTCAACTGGTTTCATTTTGTCATCAATGGATTTAATCATATCATTTAAGGTTTTAATATTTTTACCAATTAATGTTATCTTCTTCATTAAATCATTAATAGTGTAATTCTCATTTTCAGACATTACTATATATTTATTTAGATAATTATTTATTTAATTATACGTTTTATTATATAATTTACCTGAATAATTTAATGTTATATATGTAAATAAATTATATTCTAAGAGTCTTTCACCAATTTTATTTTTCAATTGTATTAAACCTTCATCGTTACCTGTAATTTCAAAAAACTTCAACATTTTATCAAATTTATCTGGTTTAGTTATACCTTTCATAAAATATTTATTGTTAAATTTAGCATCTAACCAATAAAAATATTCTATACTCAATTGCCTAGCAAAGTTTTTATCACCATCGAATATATCATTAATTTCTTCATCGTCAAAAGTTATAATTCTATGGTCTTGTCCATTCATAGTTGGCATTATGATTATATAAATAATTAGATATTTATTTAAATATTTATTTATTTATATTTATAAAGTGCAATTATGTTAAATCTACTCTTTAAATACTAATTTTTCATGATTTGTTTAACAGTTTCCTGAGTTTCGTTTTCATTATTATCGGTTGGTGTTGCTTGCCTACCAAATTTAAAAGTTATACTATGGACATCAGTTTCTAAGTTGATACTGTCTTTAGTTTTATCAATACTCATTTTCTTATCATTTTTACTTATTTTGAAACTTGTTGGAATACATGAACATTTACATGTTTTATTATTTTTTATTTCTAATTCATTTTTAAGTTCTAACATCTTTTTGCACATAGGACAAGCAATCTCAAATACTGATGTTTCTTTAACAATTTCTCCGCTATCTTCTGTTGAAGAAACACTTAAACCTGTCTTATTCTTTTTGTTTTTCTTTTTTGGCATTTATATTAATATTTATATTTTTAATATATTGTATCAAAAACTTAATTAATTCTAAAATAAAATAACATATTTTTTTACATCTATTATCAGTTATTAGTACTTGTTCTATATTCTCCATTTCATCTATTATATTAATATAATCTGTATAACTCCTTTTCATATTAAATAATAAGATAAATTATTTTTCATTTCTGTCTTTCTTTTCTTGTAAAGTTTTTTCATTGTATCGTCTTTATTCCATCTATATCCCACAAATTTCTGATGATGTTTTGAATTTAGATGTTTAAATAAATATTTGTCATCATAAGTTTTACAACAATTGCAATGGATAACAGTCATATAATAATAAGATAAAATAATTATTTAAATTATTTAATCTTATTATTTTCATGCATGATAGAATATTCGGAGGGCACAGCACTTGGGGTTTTCATTGCACGCGAGAGAGATACAAACTAATTAGCTTCAATGCTTACTGATTGAAGCAATGGAAACCTGTTCCATTATGTTATTCACCGCCACTCATAACATAATGATGGTCGCGTTAGCACGCGAGGCTCGTTCCTCGCGTCCATTAATATTAAATAGAATATTTATTTAAATTATTTTCTTTAGCTTTAGTAAGTTTTAGTGCAGTTAGCATATCAACATCTAGAATATTATTATTAATAACTTCTTGTACACTATTTATCATTTCATCTGTATATATATTAGAATAATCTTTCATAAAATTTACTAACTTTCTAAAATTAAAATCTAGGTTATTGTCATTTTCAATTGCGGACTTGGATACTACGATATTATAATTTTTAATTCCAGATAAAAAGTATAACATCGTATCATAATATATTTGTACAGTATCTGGAACTAAGACATCACCAAATTTATATATCCTCCGAATACTAGCCACTTCACTTAAATTAATA